ACGGCTGGGCCGATTGTGCTCAAATTTGGCACATCGCTAGAAACCGGTCAGTAGGGTGCCGTGCACAAGTCAGTTGGAGGTACCCCCTCGCAATTTCGCACGTGCAAGACTCACCCCCTCGCTCGCTCCGTTAGTCGCCCCAAAAGGCGCTATACTGGTGCATAGGAATACCCCTCTGAATGTGTGACGTCAGCACAGATATCTAACGATTTTTAAATGTTTGACTAAAACGTTTTGTAGCACGAGGTGGTATAGGCTGCTTTGCGCGCAACAAGTGCCGCACTTTCAGCTGCCAAACTATTGCTTCCAAATAAAGTCGCTAGGAACAGCGGAGATCCCAAAAAGTAAACAAAAGTAAAAGTCTAATATATTGAAAACCGGTGAATATTTTTCGGTGAAATTTGGCAGATATTCGTTTTCGCTCTTTCTGAACCGAGCGACATCACTTTCATGCCAATTCATAAATTTTTTTGAAGGTGGGAGGGTCCCTTTAAGTGTTCTGAACAACTTCAATGTTTGAAGCCAGACAACAGGTCCACGGGTTTGATCCGTTTCGCGCGACTGTGACTACGCCACTAATTGCAACTCAGGATATCGTATTTGAGGGTCTTGTCAACAAACTTGTTTACATAAGCAGACATTTCTTTCACTTCTTAATTGAATAGGACGAAGTCGTAAGTGTTTAAAGAGCTCTCCATTGTCGTCGCCTTGGGAACAGTATTTAATTTCTCAGCATAAACCTACTCTGAAATATATAACCATATCAAACATAGCAGAATCGACGCAACCGCTGCCTAAATAGAGAGCCCGCGCCCTTTGAACGAAATCGACACCATTAATGGGTGCGCTGGGCTGAAAATCTGGTGTTAATACCATCCGCATCGTCGTCGTGCCACGCCCGGCTGATATCGCCCCCAATGAAGACCTGTCTGTATTAGTTGGCTCCGGGAGGCGGAGGAACGGGTGCGCTCCCTGCTGCAGCGTGCATTCCTTCCGGTCCGCCAGCAGATGGTGTCATCAGCGGGTCGTCTGTACGGCCGCGCGGCTCAATACCTACTGACGGGGGCCGCGTGTCGCCGGGGAGAGTTCCGATAGCTCGACGGTTGGTCCCTGTTCCGCAGCGGCGTTCCTGACGTCTTTTACTGAAAGATTTACGAGGCAACGGATGATCCAGACTCGAAGCATAGATACTATTATACTGTCTATGCTTCGAGTCTGGATCGTTCGTTGCTTTGTAAGCGGTTTGTAAGTGTACTGTGAAGGTAGAAAATCGATGTTCATATGTGTTCATCTTTGGTCTAGATGTTCGAGCAAAATGAAGATGATGTCATAACTTATGTCACCAATCATTCACATTTGTTCTATTATAAAAACATTACATGGTTCCAGGAATCATCACTTTGGGCGGAAATTTCAAAAATCACTTAAGATTACTTATATTTAAATTAGGGGACACTTCCTTAGATCACGTCGCTCACTTGAAGCTAAGGAAAATCTCGTATAAGTAAGTAAAAATATAGAAAAAGTAGCTAAAACCAAAAAAATAATTATTGATTTGGGCTTTTAGACAACTTTTACCTAGACCAACCACCTAATGACAATGCTTCACGCAACAATGTATTTGCCTACGGCTTACGACCAGCTATCAAAGCCACAAAGTTCTTATATCAAAACATCAAATTCATCTTATATAGGTAGGTGATTGAACTTTTCAATCATATTTATAAACAGTCTGACAATGAAGTGAACCACAAGTTTGAATCGACTGCTAAACGCACTCGCCATTAGCAGTAGGAGGTCTCAAACTATTCGCTACCCAACCCCATTGGGGCATCTCCGTCTTGGAAATATGAAGACATCAGCAAGCCGTCGGAAATATCCGGCTGTGAAGCGATTCACTCCTCAGAAATGGAAACGCCAAGCGGTGATACGTATGTCAGGCACACTGGCGTGTTATTGGGAATATCAAATAGCGCCGAGGGTGAATGCACGGGCACCGCAGTACAGTTTAGCTGCAACTGGTACCTCTTGACTGATACCAAATGGTAATGCAGTTTCTTTCTATGTCGATTCAGATATAGATCGATACCGAACTGGGTGACTGGTGCTGGTGAGTCTTTAGTGGTGTTAGGTATGACGATATGGTGATAGTGGGGATAGGGCTGTGGTGACGGTACGGTAGGGGTGGAGGTCCTGTATATCCCGCTGAATCAATTGCATCAATGATCTCTATGCCGTTCGCTGCCTCATGTTTGGGGCAGGTGGCTGAGCGTGTTCAGCCATCATGCTCAGCCACTCGGCTGCATTTCAACAAGCACAAAAATGTAAGTACTATAAATGTAAGTACTATAAATGTAAGTACTATACATGCTATATTTATAGCATGTAAATGAAGGAATCGAAAGATGAGTAATCGAAAGATATTCTACATAAATAATTTACGTCTTTAGCCAAAATGCTAGCTTTGACGATTGGGCCATCTTGACAAAGCTGTTTCCTCGTTCAACACGCGGAAAGCTAATAAGTCCTGATAACCGCAGGGAACAAAAACACCCCTTTGTTCAAAACTGCACAGCTGCTCGGAGCAATAACAATTTATCCTTTAGTTGAACAACAAAAAAGACAATAATGCTACAATTAATCATTTTAACGTTAGCTCATAAAACAAAAAACTAAAATGCGACATGAAATGCCCCAAAACATTAGGCACTGCTGTGTAACCAAGATGCATAAGTTCTAAAATTGGGTACCAGATGGGAATCTTCCAGGATCGGTTCGGATGTGCGGGAGCAGTAGAAAGTTCGCCCGCCCGGCCAGTAGTGGTTGTTTAGCGCCGCTCCGTAATGGCTGTGTTTTCGCCCTGCTGGACAGCCCATATGGAGCGCTGGGAGAGGATATCTCCAGCTCTCCTCGGCTGACGAAGCAGGTCCCACCTCCCCCTTATGGGTTTGGAGACAGGGTTGGTATGAGTCGATGATACTATTTGTAATTAATAGCCACTATATCCAGCCACATATATGTAAACAATCTTTCTGCATTTTTACGCAGCTTGCTGGAACATTTTTTATGCAAGATGATTTCACGATGCGAAAAAACTCATTTTTGAAAGAAAAATAGGCATAACTTATCCATTAGCTTCATTTTCTCCGGAAAATTACCAGGCTCGAAGCGACGCTCGTTAACCCTTTTCCCACTTCCCATGGTCACCAACTCTTTAAAAGTCTGCTAATGATGTCGTCCTTCTTCACGGTTGACTGGCTCAGAAGTTGGGCCAACTCAGGTTTCTGCCTGAAACGACGGGAAGGCTGCAGTGATAAATGACTTCAGCACTGTATACCGCACCATGCTTTACACAGAACAACTTATTGTGTCGACCGCCCGTGTAAGGTGAATATTGCAGTTCTTGCGAAGTAGCGTCCAATAAAGTTCATTAACGGCACTAGACGGAAGCACTTCGGGAAATTAGACAAGTTCCTGTCATGTAAAACTACTTCAAAGTACTTTGACGACGGACAATCACACCGCTCCAACTGCTCTTTGTGCCTTTGAGGTGCTTGCGGGCTTTTCAAATCAACGTATCGATGTCAGTAGGTGCGAATAAATTGAAAAGTTATGGTGGACAAGTACCTAATTAAGAATTGCCATGCAATTACATTTTGCCAGTAGATCCAAAGCAATGTGGAGGAGATTAAGTTCGGAAATTTCTCGCATCATCGCTCATTGGACCAGATCTGAAAAATCATTTCCACATGGGTCTATGGCATTACGCTTGGGCGACTTTCAGCAGCGTTTGCCGACAACACCTGCGGAAACTTCCGACATTGCGCGGCTAAGCCTATTAGCTCCGCCATAGTCCGGTGAAATCCAACGACGTCGATCCTACGGCAGGTCCGTATATTAGCTCCAAAGTCCATGAATTTTTAGCAGGCCTAACTGTAACAAAGCCGTCGACTTGGGAAAGAAATGATGCAACAATCGACTATGCAAACCGCTGAAACGTCCATGGTCTGCGCACTATAACTACCGGTAAATCTAGCCCAGTGCCCAAGCTGATGTCCCCACGATGTAGCATGTGCAACGATGAGCTGAATCTATTTCTGAGCTCAGTTCAAGCACAACTAACTTTTTGTTGGCGTTAGCTGATAACGTTCAAAGGCCATAGTATTGGTCAAGTTCAACGGTCAAATGGCATTCTCCAGCACTTCACAGAATCATCCGCTTCCGGACAGACATTCCATAGGATAACGGCTTTCCACGCTTCGCGAAACGCGATTGGAAGCTTCGAGGAAATCTGGTCGACCAGCCAGACCCGTCATTATTGAGCTCGGCAATTATGTGCACCAGGTTTGGTATGCCTAGACTACAAATCGGGTCCATTGCCTCGGGGCGAACGGATTGGATCACATAAACTACTGTTCAATGGCAACGATTTGATGACAATCACTCCAGGCTACTTTGGGTTCATGGTTGGCTTTGTCATGCAATTAATGCGATTAATTAGAAACAGCCTCACGTATAACGTGCTGCATAGACCATCATGGTGCATCACTGCATATATGCAACATTCATAGAACCTGTTCAGAAGGATACATGAATTATATTTTGTTTCTATTAATAGCAGCATCTCAAATGTGTTAATGTAAGTACCATACGATAAACGTAAGACGAAGCTGCAAGTACGAATATGCTACACATTTTTTATAGGAGTTTAGTCAATAGTGACAAATTTACTCAATATCCTATGTCCTGATCCGAGCCTCTATAGCAGTCACTCAGAGAGATCAAACTCGTTTGAACGTTTGACCCGCTGACTGATCCACTGAAGCGCATCATCAGTGATCTATTTCTGAAAAACTTATCCCCAGCTTCGCGCACCGTTGGCAACCTCCTCATCCATGACCTGACAAAGTCGTACCCTCCTACCTTCTCACTCGACCAATATGCGCCTCTAACCTGACCTGTTCGGGTAGCAGTTCTGACCTTTGACTGACCGTTCACAGGCAAGTTTCGCCGGGAGTTCCGTAAGGCGATGTGCCGCTCCTGGCAGCCTCCTCCGTCTCGCCAGCTGGATGACAGCAGGTCTCACGCCGTCAACAGCTCCCTGTGAGTACGGGGCATCGCGCTGGAATGGCGTCCGATTGACGAGGTTTCGCTGATTGAATTTACTGGTCAATTAAGTACTTAGCCGCGATGAGTTGTGACTAAAATAATGGATGACTTCTCCCTGTATGTATTTGTAAGTTAATGGTCGGTTTTGATCATCGAGCTATGCTGAAGAATGTTGTAAGTTATCCATTGATGTTGTAAGTTAATTTGGTTGAAATTAGATGAAATTCGGAATCGGAATCTGGGAGTTCGTTTAGTGTCCTACAATAGTGTTATTTTCCACATTGGATGTTACCGGTAGTATCAATAGACTGCCTATTGCGAAAACCAATTAGTAACTGACAATGCTAATGCAGACAGCAGTCGCATCATTAGAACGAGAGGCGGCGCATTTAATAAGCACTGCTGTCGATCATAAGAAGTTTCGCAATCTCTACATATATGCTCTAAGCCCATTGGCATACTAACGAAAAAAGACTGCTTAGTTGATATCTGGCTATAGGAGTGGATTACAGACAGATCATGTTACACAAACAACTTGTAGGTGGAATGGGAAAGACCTAGGAAGATGCATTCGCTATATTGAGCTGCTAAGTGCTACTGTTATGCTGAATTCTTGATAACATCTAAATTAAATGTTTTTAAGCCTCTTTTCATAATAAGATGGTGTGCTACAAGAACAGACTGTCACAAATTCTTTGCAACTCTTTTACAATTAGATCCCTTGCCGTTGTGCTCAACTATTATTTATGCTGCCACCCAGTAAAAAAAAAAAATTGCTCACATTGTTTTCACAATTTCTGAAGACTTTGTGAATTGCTTTAAAATGAAATATTTATGCTCAACGGCCCGAAGGATTTAACCTTAGACAAACACCAAAGTCTATTTTTGTCAACTATTTTTTCATAATGTGCTTTTACTTTTGTCCTTATCATTAATGCCTACATACATCCTTCTACGCACGGCATACCCACATATCTCTAAGTTCATAGCAGTCAATGCCCGCCTCCTACCAAGCATAAGTGCTATCCCACTGTTTGCATCTTCACGGTTTTGTCTTATCTATCTAGCTTCAGTAGCCCACCGTACCGCTTCCGTTTGAGTCAAAGAAGTTTACGACATTCCTCCGGTTTGAGTTTCAGCATAACTACATGGGATAAACCTGAGTTGCCGTCACTCTTGCACTATCTCAAACTGAGTTTTATTTATGTTCTTACCAGGCGCGGATACAAGGGTGGGCCATGGGGGCCATGGCCCCCCCCCCCTTGGCCGATTTTTTTCAAAAATAAAATAAAAAGTTAAAAAGTTAAAAAGCTGAAAAGGGGGCCTCCTGAAAATAAAGTGGCCGAAATCCGATGAGTTTTTTTTACCTACCCACTTAGTTATTTCTTAGAAGACTAGCTGAGAAGACTTCTTTGTTAGAAGATTGGTAAAGCTTTTCATAACTTGGAGGTCTCTTATACTCACAGAGATGACCACTTTTACAGGGCCTCCTAACCTGCACAGAGGGCCTCCAAGCCTGCACAGATGTTGAGATGTTGCCTGAACAGCTAGATAAGCTCAATAGACGCAGTTTTTTTTTGGGGGGGGGGGCCCCAACAAGTGGGAAGATGGGGCCTCCAACAGGTGGGATTATGGGGGGGGGGCCTCCTGGTTTCTAATGGCCCCTCCCTTGGAGATTTTCTGGATCCGCCCCTGGTTCTTACCGCACCACCCCAGTCTGGGTTTCAGTTACCCAATGATTCCAGTTAAGCACCGCCCTAGATCTGAGTTTCAATTTCTCACTGCACCACCACGGTATGATTTTCAGCTATTCGCTGCACCACCCAAGTCTGAGTTTCAGCTTTTGCTGCACCGCCCCACTCTGAATTTCATCTATTCCCTGCCCAGTCGGAGAGTTTCAGTCGTTCGTGCGTGGCTGAGGTCAGTCATCAGACCAGATATGGGGCAGACGTCTAAAGTGGTCTTCATCCGGCGAGCCTACCTGGAAACGCTCCAGAGTGTTTTTCTCCAGGTGTTAGCCATTAGGATGCCCCGGTCGGCCTCTCTGCTCTCTTGTTCTCATTGCCCTCTGAGAAGATCAGTGATATTGCCAAACTGAAGTGAATTTACTGAGATATAGGGAGATCGATATAGAGAGAGAGGGAGAGGGAGAGAGAGAGAGAGAGAGAGAGAGAGAGAGAGAGAGAGAGAGAGAGAGAGAGAGAGAGAGAGAGAGAGAGAGAGAGAGAGAGAGAGAGAGAGAGAGAGAGAGAGAGAGAGAGAGAGAGAGAGAGAGAGAGAGAGAGAGAGAGCAGGAGACAGACAGGAGCAAGGATAAAGACCTCAAGATTCTGATTCATATTCTCAATCTGTCATTAGGTATTGCTTTATCGCAATTATTGTTTTATTTGCCTCACATATTAATCACATCATATTTACTGAAGCGTTCACGTTGAGTACATATGCGACGCCAACAAACAAGTTTACACAGCGACGTTAGCACGCTTTGGCGCTATCGAGAGCTACCTTCAAATGGGCTGGGTGAGCGCCTATGAGCATCCAATAAAGTCGATATTTCTGGCAAGCTCGGCCTCTGGGTGGCACTCTCTCCAGTTCGTCAACCATCGCTAGTCATCGTCCTCGTCCTTCCTGCAGAAGCCGTGGTAGTAGAACTTGCCGGCCACCCTCAGTGTGACGTTGAGGGTCCCCACCGGCCAGGGGAGTGGCGCCAGGCCCTCGGCGGCGTGCGTGACCAGCGCCGTCGGCTGCTGGAGGCCCACACAGGCCGGCGGAAGGCCCCTCAGCGCCATGTTGGCCCTCTCAGGGCACACCAGGTCCTTGTTGTGACGCCGCCAGCGTCGATACCACTTACTCGTCGGTGGCTTTCTCGGCTTGGGTTTCGGCGGTCCGGTCTCAGGTAACGCCGGCTCGTTCATCTCGACGAAGTAGTTTAGCACGTCGATTGTTGACGGTGACTTCTCAAAGTGTTCACTGGGATGGTCGGCTAACTCCAGGACAATGTCCTCGCCGTCTAGGTTGACGACGTTGGGCTCGTATCGCGCCAGAGCCCGCACCATGTTTGCACGTATCTGTGCCTGAAGTCGCTCCTGTCGCAGTTCCTCCGCCACCAGCCGAGCGTTGCACTCCCACGACTCCTGCCACTGCGCTAGGAAATGAGTTGCCTTGCGTCTTAGCGCAGCTTTGGACGTGGCCTTTCCTCCGGTCTTCGCCCAGGTGATCAGCTCACATCTGAGAACGTGGTCCGGGTCAATCAGACCGACACTGGAGAGGTAGTCGTTAATGACCTCTCGGCACGGCTCGGGACAAAGCGGGTAAACGGCCAGCAGGTGCGGGATGATGTCTTCAGGCGGCGTGTTCAGGGACTGCGACAGGGTCTGCAGCACCGTCTCCAGCACCCCCACGTCCATCCAGCTCTCCGTCAAGAGGTTCAGCATCCGCCGCCTCATGTCCGACGGATCTCGGCATGAGAACTCATTCACGATTTTGGCGACCTCCTGAATTCCCTGTTTGATCAAACGCGTGTCATTCCGAGGCAGATTGCTGAGTATTACGTCGTTCAACTGCCACGCTGACATGTTGACGTTTCTTTGTTCCATTGGAATGATATCCAAGAGCCATGGCTTGACTTTCGTTTCTTTCTGGAAAAACGTTTTGCCGTCTCCATAGTCCCCGATAAACATGCTCGGAAAAATGTGGTCACTCGGTAAGCTGACCACGTTCTTAAACACAGGCCTGTTGTCTATAGAAAGAGAAACCCGCTGGTTATCTTGACTATCTTCCACTTCAATCAACGTCCTCATGTACGTTTTCGGCTTCTGGCGCGCTTCCGACGCAGCCCTAGTGCGACGGCGCTGCGACTTCGACGACGCCACAGAGGAGCCTCTGGTTCTGTTCGAGGACACGCTCACATCCTGCCGCGAAGTCGAGGGCGCCTCCGTCGAGGCGGACCGCGCCGCGCTTCCCGGACGCTCTCCTCGCTGTGAGCTGGCGCGCGATCGGCGCGGTATGCTCTGCGCTCTGGACTTGGCTGACTCGCTCTTTTTCTCCCGCTGCACCTGTCGTCTGGACTTGCGTTTGGTGGGCACGGCGCGTTGCCGGTGTCGCAGCGGCTGAGTCATCTCCCACTGGAGGGTCCACACTGCCTCGGCCATGGCCAGCTCCTCCTCGCTGACGTCTCCGATGCCGCCGCGCCGCCGCTGGTCGGGCAGCCGGCTCTGCAGAGACGCGCTGCTGGAGTACTCGGAGTCGTACAGCTCGCGCTCGCCGCGCAGGTGCCGGTACAGCCGGTGTCGCCGCGAGTTCCGCTCCGCCTCCACCTCACCTAACGTGCGAGACGACCAGAGCAGGGTGACGATCAGCGTGTTGGGCAGCTGCGCGCCGCACACCAGCGCACGAGGCCGTGTCATGCCGAACATGAAGCTCGACTTGCAGCACGGGAAGAAGTTCTGTCGGCAGATTTCGGTCGTTGGCGGCAGCAGCTTGGCGCCTTTGCTGAGGAGCTTGTTGGTGAGGAGGTCGATGTCTACTTCTTCGTCTGGCGGTAGAGTGACTCGCTCGTAGGGGATGATGTGTTTGCGAACGTAGGCGTCCCAGCCAGATGTGTTGATCCTCTCTTGAGAGGCCATCTGGTGGAGCACTGTGATGCGAGGGAGCTTCTTCACCTTTTTAAGTGTTTCCAGGCTACCACGCAGCTCTTCCAAGTCCTGACGAGTTTTAGCGGCTTTCTCGAGCATTTCAGTCCTCAGTTGTTCGGCTTTCATGTTTCGTTCTACGAGAATTCTTTGAAGCGTGTAAAAACTGCCACATTCAGATACTGGTTGCCCCATTTTATATAAAATACCTGTAAAATTAGGATCAGATTTTATTTCTCCCTGAGTCGTCCGAACTGTAGTTATACCCGAACTGTAATATATGGATTTCAGAGTTACTTTAAATCAGCATCTGTTAATTCAACAATGTATTATGTACTGAAAAGGACGTTTTTTGTTACAAAAACTATCAATCATGGTTTCCTCAGGAAATCTTACCGCAACATTCGCAATTAACCTTCTCGATAAATTGACATAACTTGTTCCTAAAGAACGTGAATTAACACTTAGGAACCTTTCTGTCAACATTAATTCCTTAAAGCAGTGACAGCATTACATTGCAAGAGCCTTTGTCAAGTTCAGGCAGTTGGCTTTATATGTGCGATTTGCATGCCACGAGGTGATTGGACCAGGTGTTCAGGGCTCGAGCCTAGCTGCCCTTTTACGAGGTAAATGTGCGATCAGTCGGGATAGTGGTAGTGTGTGGCAAGGTTGTATAGCTTTGTGGGCTTTGATAGCTAACCAGTGGTGAATACGTCGATATTCCTCATCAATAAAGAAGTGCGCTGGAGCCTACGTGAAATTCGAACGGCCTTTGTCGCCTACTACATAGAACAAGCAACAAGATATTGTTATTTGTTTCGTTGTGGACTCTCGATAGGTACCCCAGTAGAAAATCCTCCTTCGAGCCTGATGAAGTTTCAGGCTCCTCTTCAGAGCAAGATCAAGTAACATTAAATAGTATATTAAAGATATATAAACTAATCATAGAGCACTTAAACAACGTGCGTCGCACACGGAAACAGTCTTTTTAAACGTATAAGGCAGCACACAGTAAACACTACTGTCATATCCACTGTAAACTAGTTTTGCGCCCTATCCCAAAGAGACCCCGTAGATATCCTAAGGGTATTATCTGCCCCAGTTCATAATTCTGGTGATTAAGTGCCTATATGTCATGGCCACTCAGCTTGTAGGTAATGGAAGCAGCAATCGTGCGAGTAGGTTATATGATTATTACGGCAATTTAGTAAGGCAAAAACAGTGACACAGCAGAGAGCCACTTGCGATCAGCTGAGATAGGACCAGAAGCTGGGCATGCGTAAGTCAGGCTGCAGTTTCAAAATAACTGCAATGGAACAAACTGACAAAGACGGACACGAATATTGCTACTTGTCAGTTTGCACATCTACTAATGTACGATATTTGTCTTGAACTTCATCCACCAAAAGTTGCCCAAATCCCGCCACTGTAATAATTTCCCAGTCATCGCATTCTTTTGACTCCCTCAGCCTAACCGAAATCAAAGTGGGCATGCCGCCACACAGCGCTCCCACAATACCTGTCACGGAACTGGCCCAGTAATAACTGTCCGGTGTCCGACGAATTCATTATCCTCCCGTCACGCTCTGACAGAATGTCTCGTTCCAGGCTGGACCGGCGATCCAACTGCACTGTGACGCTATCCACCACAAGTAGTAGGAAGTCACGGCGCATGCTGATGGTCAAACCGGCGACCAACAACCCCAGTAAGGAAACCAAGCTGTAGCTGGATGTCACGACAGAGGAGAGGGTGGATGACCGGCCGATGACGTGTGGAAATCGAAACGGTCTGACATTGTCAGCAGGCTTCAGCAGCGTGAATATCCTCTTCGAAAGGAGACGTGCCCGCTGCGCAGAACAGCGCAAACCGTTGTTGACAGCTCAGAACGGTGGTTGCGATGGTTATCTCCGCGAACGAGTGGCTCCGCGGTTATCTCCGCGAACGATGATCAGCACAGAGTGGCCAGTAAGGATATGACGGTTGTATATGATGGTGTCGTGACGGTGAAAGCTCGGTGTTTGGGCCTGAGCACACGCGGAGCGATAGGCGCCAGTACCCTGACGTGTTTTGGAACTGTCAATGACAGGCGGTAAGGATTGACACGTGTGCATTTGCGGATATTTTATGATAGTGAACTGTGAAGAGATAATGACCTTGACAATAGGAAATTATAAAGCCACGTGAACTGTATATAAAGGTGGCCCGATGATGACAACAGTGAAGGAATCTTACGAACTACGCTATACAGTCGTAAATATCAGACAATAGCAACGCCATTCGTGATGGATGTGCGCACAAAACCGAGTGAATTCATTCTCACTCCGAATGAGATCGCCGAGAGTGTATTTAGCCGTACTCAGAGAAAAGCTCAGGCCTTGAGCCAGACTGCTCAAACAGCGCAAAAATGGCGGTCGGACACTTGACCGGCCTGAAACAGCAGAGTGCTCTTGACCGAAACTTTGTCGAGAAGTTCAAGGAACTCTGAAGAGCGGCTCAGAGCTTGAGCATCGTACACAGTAAAGACGCAACAGCGGGCGCGTCAGTTACTGCAGCCCGAACTGAACCTCAGTGCGACGGTGTCATGTCTGTGACCAGCGCCGATACCAGTGTCGGCCTGATCTGTGTGACACACACCGCGCTGTGTCTGTTTCCGTCACTGTGACCCTACCACAGAGAGGTCCTTCCGTGATGTGACTCTTCCGGATGTGCCCTTAGCCAACAGACTAGCGCCAGCCGAGCCGCTACCCGGCCAGGGCCATCCGCCGCCCGCTGCGAGTGACAGTATCTATTTCCGATGGGCGGAGCGGTTCAATCTCAGTTCACTCTGTCTGACAGTACTGCACGCCAAAAACTCGCTCGTCTCGATAGTCGAGAAATAACTCGATCCGTCGAATCAATGTGGAAGTGAAGTGAATTTTGTCTTCTCGCATGCTGGTGTGACAAATGAAAGACACTGTCAATATGTCGGAATTTAACTAACCGTTGAAAAGTACATATGAATTACTGTTCGATTGTTCCATTGGAAGTGTGTCGCTGAATGTTTCCAATGTGTTTTGCGGCATTTTGATGCCGTGAACAGGGGAAAGACACTTGGTGTGACGTTTATGTGTGTGTATTAGTGTCGAAATGTGTTAAATGGCACAAACTACTTTTATGGGAATGTAAATGTTCGATGGATTTTCTGTATTGTTTGTGTCGTGTTTGATGTAAAACAGGATGCGTTCACTTGATGTTTCATGAAGCAAGGTCAGTATTTCATCGTATCTATCGGTATCCACCGATTGAAGATTTAAATAATTGAGTTACGTCATGCGTAGTATTTTCTACGCTTAAGTTTTAGAGTTTCATGAATTATCTATAAATATTTTCGCTGTTCTGTTATCAGCATTTTTAAAAACACAATATATATGCCAATAACTAGAAAAGAAAACACGCCAGAGCCTACATTTGAGCTAGACCCGCATCTCATCAGAGTCAGCATGAGGACATGGACGTAATCGGTAATCAAGCAATGTTTTACCGTTAGATGTTAGTAAAGAAAGTGAATGAGAGACAGAGAGAGAGAGAGAGAGAGAGAGAGAGAGAGAGAGAGAGAGAGAGAGAGAGAGAGAGAGAGAGAGAGAGAGAGAGAGAGAGAGAGAGAGAGAGAGAGAGAGATAGCGAGAGAGAGAGAGAGAGATAGCGAGAGAGAGAGAGAGAGATAGCGAGAGAGAGAGAGAGAGAGAGAGAGAGAGAGAGAGAGAGAGAGAGAGAGAGAGAGAGAGAGAGAGAGAGAGAGAGAGAGAGAGAGAGAGAGAGAGAGAGAGAGAGAGAGAGAGAGAGAGACTAAATGATCAGCATGTCTATTGCCTAGCATTCTGACCAAACCATGTGTCCTGTCATTCTCACTTGCCAGAGGCAGACATGATCGTAATGCGCGTTATCGTGATCAATTGTCCCGTCTGAAAGGACTCTCCGTCTCTTCTGAGCCTGACCAAACTGCCAAAAAAGGGCGTTCGGGCGAATAGTTTTTTATATTAATCGGTTCATCAGCCCGGTGTATCCCGGTAATGACTCACAGGGCGCATCGCTATCAAAGGATCATCAAAAGCGTTCGACGGGGCCGAACAGGAGCTGAATTGTGCCCAAATTGTGCCAATCTATTGGTGGCTGACTAGGCCATTTCGCTTTCTCTGCATCAGTCCGTGATTTCGAGAAATTCGCTCAGTCACAACCACCGGTGCTTTCAGTTGTGAAGGTATCGTTCAAGCGAAAACGTTGACAAAAATAACGTTTCATTTCTGCTGCATCGATGCCGAGAACAAAGTGAGAAAATTTTCACAAATTAGCAATAGTTAGACATCACATTTTACCTTTCATTTCGTATTTAAATCATCAATGAGCTGGCCTCGACTAAACAAATATTTCATGAGGACAATTTGACACACACAAGGTCATGCCATGCAGTGACTGGAAGCTTTGAAATACCGAGACATGCTGCAGTAGCGTTTGAAGCATGCAGCGTGTTTACATTTAATTAAATTATGAAGAGAATTAAGCGAAATCCTAGAAGATAACAAAACTGACTAAAGGTCCGTATGTCTTACTGGCTCTGGACAAACTGACTGTCTTGGTTGTCTGTTCAGTGTTTGTGTGCGTATGTTTGCTATCCATGTGAATGATGAGTGCGCTGGTCAATGGCAACAAATATACCATCTCTGTATGTAAGAGTTTATTACGAGTACGACGGCGCCGAGAATTTTCATCTTAAGGTCATGACTCATTGCTGACGGAGGACCAAGGGCAAAATGTCCACCACATATAGGTATCACGGCGATTTCACCATGCGTGACATTTCACATTTCCGCCTTTACCTGGATTATATTCTTAACTTAGTTATGAACAAACATCCATATTCGTCAACTTCCTCAGCTACCAGGAGCCACGTTTTCGGTAAAAAAAAAAAAACACAGCTAATGCAGGCGCAGCGTCCTCGGGCTTTTGCTCCCAGCATCCAGTACCGACCGGCTAGTTTCTTACACTTGCCCATAGATGGCTCTGTATGCTGAGCGCCTGAACGATGCTGTGCCGCAGGGCCCCCATCTCTGCGTCTCGCACCGTTAGCCGACGGGAAAGGATGTTTTCAACGGCGCGTGTACCCGAGTGTAGGAACAAATGAAAACCTTTGACGTTTTATCCTCAATCAGACGGCTGCCTTTATTTACTATCTAGTATCTACCAATGTTTGAAGGCGAGACACGTTTAAATCGTCCCATACCTACTGGAGGTTCTTCCGGCGGCTCTCTCGCGGGGAGTTCGGACCATGTTCCAACCAATGCGGTCCGGTCGGCCGCGCAGTGCCGACCTGAGCCGCATTGGAATGGCCCCTGAGTCCGACGGGCGTCCTGAGGGAGTGGACTGCACTCACCCGCGGCAGTGCTCCTACTCGACCAGCCCCAAATCGGGAGTCTGTGAGACGGGGTAACGCTGCAACCAACACCGCTACAACTAGCGTGCAAGGTTACCACTCTTTCTCTTTGGAATTTATCTCCCAGGTTGAAAATTCTTGCCACGCGTAAGAATAGCTGTAATGTTAGTGAAAAGACACGCGGACATCTACGTAGCATGAAATTTCCGTATGAGACAATACTAGTGTTGAATGTCGTAGTCATTTTTAGAACTAAGCACTGACTCAACCATTTGTACTAGTGCCAGTTGCTACGATCCTGGTATATTTCACAGAGTCTGCCAAGCAGACCTCATAAGGCTGCCTGATTTCTGGAGTGAGCAGTCTCCACGTGATCCCAATTCCTTACGGCTTACACAGCGCAGGACAGCTGACCATTGACCACTGGCCTATCATTCGATCGGGGTTTTAGGGGCAGATATGTACTTTGGTTGGCATTTTCCTAGCTCGATTCTCGAATACGATAACTAGCGACAACCGGTGGAAAAAAACTCCCTCTGGCTCCTCATATCGTTACTCAAGCTGTTCGTCGATGATAAACAAACGCACATTCTGCCGCCTAAAAGTTGAATTGTCTTCTCCAAAACTCTCACTCCTAATGCTTTTAACTTATCAGATTTCATAATCAAAAGAACACTGCACACTCCGTCATCACATTAGCCTCCATTATAAAATGTTTACATCCGATATTCAGCACTGAATGCATCTGAATGTGAGGATTGAATATCCATTTTCGGTTAGAAACTGGTGGCGGCGGGCCTCTTGCACATCTAATGACTGTTCCGAAGGGAAGGAATAGGTAATTAAGTTTCCTGGTGTTAGTTTTTTGAAAAACAATGGCTATCTGAATCCAGAATAAAATGATATAGCGACGAAGACGTAACGTCAGCTACCACCTGAGAGCATCGGAAAACCGACGTACCTATAGTGGCGAGAGCCCGATGGGTGGGAGCAGCCGCGACTGGTATTGATAGACTTTGTCGAGTCAGTGAAACGGACCGTGTCCAGCTTCGGTGGGCACACTAAGCTTCGGCATATAAATTATCCACATACCCAGGTGAGTTATCCTCCGCTTAGTGTGGGCTCAGGCACGTCAGTGTGGGTTGTCAAGGTTAACTTGGTTGGATTTATAGTACGCCGTCCGAATACGCACGACGCCTATCGCGTACTTCGCCACCGCACTTGTCACGTGCGCACGCTGATTGGGAACAATCACATTTCGTCCACCAACGACCGTAACGCGTGTTACCTTTCATCTTACGAGTGACGAACACAAGGCGGGATTCGAAAGTGACGTAAACAAATGTAAATGATGATGATGATTTGGAGTGACAGGGCGCACCAGCTGCGAGGCTATATCGCGCCCATTTCTTATTTGACTTCCTCAGTGTCGGGCGTTAAAAATCACCTGAAGGCCGGAGGCCGCAATAAACGAAAAGAGACGAGAAGAGTCTAGCAAAGAGGACTCGTCACCTAAGACTGCTCTCAAAGAAAGCTGGGCTCCGCGCAGGCCCAGAAACTTCAGCCGCTCAGCTTCCAGTCTCGGACACTCCAGAAAAACGTGTCGGACGGAAAGTCTGTCGCCACATCTCGCACAAACAGGTCTTGGGCCGACGCCAATAAGGTGTCCATGGGTACCGAAAGTGTGCCCTGTGCGAAGCCGACAGGGGATAACCTCCTCTCGACGCGACTTGCGCGACGCAGACAACCAGGTTGCCAAACCCGGTTTGATGCGTAGCAGCTTGTTTGTCTGACATTTGCTCCAATCCTCCTGCCACTTTCCGCGGAAGAATGAGCTCACCGCAGGGAAAAAGTCCCTGGCCGGTAGAGGGAACCGGCGCGAGCAGGGCTGCCGCGCCGCATGGTTCGCAGCACGGTCCGCCCGCTCATTGCCAGCTATACCAACATGGCTAGGAATCCAGCAAAAAGTCACTGAGGTACCCTCTCGGTCGAGAGCCGTCAAACGGAGAAGAATCTCCTGTACGAGGGGGTCAAGTGGATAGAATTGTGTCAAGGACTGGAGTCCGCTCAAAGAGTCGGAGAGGACAAGATATGACCGAGCGGGATGAATCTGGATAAAACACAAAAGTTTGAGGACGGCGACCAATTCGCAGGTAAAAACGGATGCATGTTTAGGTAAAGTAAAACATCGCACAGCGTCGCCGCAGACGAAGGCACAGCCAGCACCGAGGTCCGACTTGGACCCATCGGTGTATGCCACGGCATGGCCTGAATATGATTCAATATGTTCCAATGCCTTCGCCTTGAAGGCCAGAGGCAGAATTTCGTCTTTCCGTGTGCCTGATAGGGTTAGGTCCACAGAGGGGACAGATAACCTCCAAGGCGGTTTAGGGAGGATAACAACTCGCATGATGTCCCGAGTGTTTAGACCACAATCTCGGAGGAGATCGGCCGTTCGGGTGCAGAAAACTCGAGAGCGGCTCCTCTCGTCGCCATCGAAGACTGCTAAGAGCGACCTGGAGAAAGCCGGTTCGTGAGCAGGATGGGAAGGAAACTGACGAAGTTTGATGGCGTATCGCATGCCCAACATCAGCCTTCGTAAGGCCAGAGGGGGTTCGTTCGCCTCAGCTAGCAAGCTGACGACAGGAGTGGTTCGGAAAGCACCAGTCGCAATGCGAATCGCTGCGTGGTGGACAGTGTCAAGGATAAGCTTGGATGAGGATGCAGCGTTGTCATAGATAAAAGATCCATAGTCCAGACGGGACCGCACCAAAGACCGATACAAAAGGAGTAGCGTGCTACAGTCAGCGCCGTAGGACGTGCGAGCAACACACTTCAGAATGTCAAGAGCTTTAAAACATCTGTCACGGAGACACTTTATGTGACTTCGGTATGTGAGTCGGCAGTCAAGAGTCATGCCAAGGAACTTGGCCTCCGCAACCACTAAACAAATGTAAAAACGGCTGCCATTCCTGACGTCATGATCGTACATACGTAGGTCGGCAAAATGCGACTAATTACATCTGCGCGCTGCTGCTGGCACGAACAAACTGGGCAGCTCTAATAATTATAATTACTTATCATTGATGTGGCAAGCACGCACGACCAGCGCCCCTGGTAATAGTGAGAACTATGTTGAGTGCCAAATACACCGCACTTCCATAAGGCTGCTTCCGGGAAACATTATTTAGCAAATGGATGGAAGCCGCGATAACGCGGCAGAGGGCAGTGGCGCGCTGTGTTTACGTGGGTAGGAGGAGAGGGGCTGGGTGAGGGGAAACAGAGCTGGGGTAGCTGCAGATGCAATTACGGTTGTTACTGCACAAGCCGGCTAGTGCCCTCACATTCCGCAAAAAGCTGTCCTAATGACATGCTCATAGAATCTTTTTAGTCGACCATTGTCTTAATTTCTACCAGCATTTCTGATTATTTTGATCAATGGCTTTAGATCTATGATTTGATCAGCTGATATTTACCGATAAATTCCACCATCTCGTTTAGTATCATAGCGAGTGCGTGGGCGGATTGCGGCAAACTATTTCTTTGGTATCGTGTCATTATGCCGCAACAAGCGAGCAGATTTAACTCAACACAACTTTAGTGGCCCACAGCACCCTCGGACAACAATTTCACTGTAAATCATAAACTTTGCCTCAAGCTGAAGACTGTTAATCTTACAGCTCTTACAAACTTGAAAAAGTGTGGACGGTCTGAAAAACGACATCACTTTCTAAACGCGATGCTGAGCCCCAGGACGATTCAGTTTCAATTCCAGTTTGTTTGCCTGTGCTCTGAAACTTCACCTCTTTTCGAGCGGTGTCAAACTTTGAAAGGCGATCAACGCTGCCATCCAACTTCTTACGTTTATTCCTTCGCTGGTCTGAATCAGTCTGTACATTGAACTTAGGACTAAGCAGTACGGGACGAGTGAAGCCAGCAGCGGCAGACCGCGACTGCCGCTGCCGGCGACGCTGCACAAAACGAGAGAACCAATCAGAACGTCCCTGGCTCCGGAGCGGCACATATCAGAGTACAGAAGACATCACCTTAGCTATACAACACGGGTGCCGGCCGGGCGGATCCGAGGAGGACCGCGCGGCGGACCGATCACATCAGCACCCCTGGCCCTCCCCGTAGCACCGGCAGGGTAGCACGGCGCCGTCCGATCCTCACCTAACGTACTCAGTCACCGGGAACACAGTCTCAGTCAGTCGGCCCGACCCCGCGCGCACCACAGCCTCGGCGGACGGGGTACCGGTGCCCCGCCACCTCCCCGTCAACACGAGTAAAACGCCACCCCCCCCCCTCGCACCGCCGAGATCCTCCCGGGCAGGCCTCGCTCGTAATCTCCAAAGCCTGAGCCCAGGACGACCCCCAGCGCTAGGCGCGAGCGGCGAAGAAGCCACAGCAGCGTTCCCCTAGCCCAACCCGCGCCTTCCCGGACATCGGCCACACTTTGTGAAAGTCGCCCACGTCAGGACAGGCTCACCTAGCCCTGCGCCAGGCGTCGACAGCCTGGGCGGCGGACCGGAGAGGGGTGCGCGTCACAAGGAAGCACTACGAGGCCAGGGAGCGCACAGCCATCAGCAGCATCCTCATACTGCGCACCAGGGGCGTCTGCTGCGCGCCCGCCTGGCCGATGTAGGCCTGCAGCTGGCTCTGCAGCGAGGCCAGCACGTGCGGCATGTGCTCCTTGGTAGCCGGGCACTGGGTGTCGATCTGCATCACAGCCTCCTCCAGGTACCTGGCGGAAAGGTACGAGGGGAGTTAGCGATACTTGATTGTTTCATGTGCGATGGACGGGAAACGAAGGGAAGATCTTGACAGACGGGGAAACGATGGAACTCGGGAGTAGGAAGCATGAGTGATAAGAGAAACGTAAATAGCCAGTAACACGACCAGCGTTTTTTAACAACTAATTTCAGTTGTGCTTAGATTAATACGTTCCGCATATGCTCAGCACTTCAGTTATTTGGCCAACATCCGCACGGGGTTGAGCCATTGCCTGGTGAACTATCACCAGTAAACACATCGTCCAATGCTCACGATCTATGACGGTACTCCGGCTACGTGGCTACAACAGTTCTTGGTCACTAAAAAAAACTGTGATTGGCCAGCCCCTGTATTTTCAAGCCATTTAGTTCGGCGTACACTACAATGATAAACTCAACTGTTTTTTTACGCGCTCCCTCCGACAAGGTTGTTTAGGTACCACACGTCCATTACGTGAAGTTGAGGACTACTTTTAGTTTAAATGGACCCACAACGAGAAACTTCCACCGTTACAAAGTTACGCACCACTTCTGAAAACCGACAGTACCGCAGAGACTACCAGGCAGGATACGAGCGAAGCCGGGATTTGGCCCGTACTCCGACCAATACAGGTGACTGTATTCAGAGCATTTATCGCGAAAGAAGTAATGCAAACAAGACAGCAAAGGCGAATCAAGTCGCTCAATGGAAGGTTGTATAATCAAACGGTTGAACGCGATTCACTCTCCGTATGTCGCCTACAATCCAAAGCACAACAACGAAAACGTCATTCCACCTCTTTTTCACAAAACCATATAAACCAAACGCTAGACCACAAGGCTGACAGCCTATTTGCCCTGTTTTTGTTCACGCAAGATCGCACGCAATAAAGCGGCAGCCGCAGACGAACAAAACAAAGGTAATGCGACGGGTTGTCGGCAGAGGAGCACTCGACGAGCGCCGTTATTTGCCCTTCTGTAATGGACGACCGGCCCAAACGGGCTGTGATCCGGGGCCGGCAGATGCCGACCGAAGGAGACAGACGAGGGACAGGCGAAACCGCAGGCGGCGCGGGCGCGGGTGAGAGGCCCGGTATAAGACGCGTCTCGGTGGGACGAGCTCCAGCGATGCCAGGGAATGACGGGGACGCGGTGGGCAGAGACGGGGAAAATAAGTGTGGAGCCGGGCGCAAAGGACGAGGCCGGGAGAGAGAGAGAGAGAGAGAGAGAGAGAGAGAGAGAGAGAGAGAGAGAGAGAGAGAGAGAGAGAGAGAGAGAGAGAGAGAGAGAGAGAGAGAGAGAGAGAGAGAGACGCCTGTCTCCCAGATTGACTCGCTTGCCGTCCCATCGTAGAGGCCACGCCTCTCACACAGCCGATAAAATAATGCCCAGAAACTGAAATATTCACGGATCCAGACAGGAAACCGACATATATGGATGACGGTTAAGTGATGGCTATTCAAGTTTCCGTAGTTCATCTCTTTGAAAAATGGACATCGAGAACAAATGAGATTAGCCGCAGAGTTGAATAAGTTTGGATGACCGGGCCCCGAGCCGTAGCTATGGGGACATGGATGGTAGCGTTGTGGTCAGGGTGGGCTTCTCACCCAGAGATCACCTGATCAAATAACTTCGGTAACATAACATATACCACATTATGTTGTATAATATTTATTCAACATAATATCGGTGAAACAGTGAGAGGGACTTTGTTACTACATTAGCGTGAAACTCCAGTTCGGCTTATGTGGCACATTTTCGCTAATTTCGTGCTAGAGCAGTATCTAATTCGGGGCAGTCTGCCTTACGGAGAAAAGTCTCAGCCACTGGCACAAAGCCGCTGTTGTGTCCCAGATAGGTCCGCTATCTCTGGGATTAACAGGAATAAAGTAGACCAGCAAACACCGAATTCGCCAGCATTCACTAATCCGAGGAGCCAGGGTGATGTATCTCAGCGGTTCCGTTAGAGAAGGTCGCCTGAGACTGAATAATATTGCCACAGCTTGAATACCAATAAATCCAATAGTGCGGTGAAATCGAGATCGGTAAACGACCAAAGCGGTTAGCAAATGCAATTTGCCTCGCTATGTTTCACGGAACAGCAACTGCCAAGAAGGAATTGAAAGTAAGATTAGCTCGTAATTTGTTTAGAGAGGAGCAAACAGACAAATATACAGCACAAGTGATGACAATGTGGGTAGAAAGCGTCGATTCGATTTAATTTGCATGCCGACGCGTGAATAAGAGTGTAACTAAAATTCGAACACCAACACATTGCGTTCATCGAGACCAAAATTCAACTTAGACGAGGAAATTAAAAAAAAAAACTGGTACTGATATGTCCGAACGCGCAGGTCAAAGTCTCCGATGTGCGTACATACAATCCAAATCAGCGTTGCAAGCAACATACTCAAATTCACTTCATCAAGTGAAAGCTACAAGCGAATATAAATTTACAAACCATCGATAAGTACCCTATGAATCAATCTACAATTCTCGAACACCCTACCAGATGAGTCTCGCGTGTCTATGGGAAAAGCTGCCGTGCCTGGCGCCTCCCCACACATCAAACGGTGCTGCACTTTCCGGCAAATCCATCCACTATTAAGCCCCTGGCTCCACTACGTGATTTTCCCTGCGATTTTGCGATAGCGCGATATCGCATCGCTAAATTTCTTAAAAGAATTCGGAAAAAGTTCAAAATTCTGAACTTTTTTTGCGAAGCGAAAACTGTGTAGTGGAGCCTGGACTTTACCAGTGTCCTCGGTCGCTCGCCTCTCATCTGCCGGCACGCGGCAGCCAAGTGTGCTCCTTAGCACCCTCGGAAACTGACCGGTCATTACCAGTTATCGCCGACACACCACGTCGCTAGAGGTAGCGCGTGAGTGGTCGACACCGCCGCTTCGCCGAACGGCAGAACAAACGCCTACGTCAGCGGCGACCGTTCCCAGAAAACAGGCGCGTAAAGTCAGCATCAAACGCTCCCCCCCCCCCCCCGAGAAAGCAGAAAACTACAGAGGGCTCGTCAATCATTCTAGCTAATTGGTCACGGTGTGAGTGGGAGGTGGGATAAATGAGAACCAATCAGTAAAAACATTAAATGATTGATCCCGTGGCCTAGTTCTCTTGTGGCCCGCCTTAATACGTACACGGCTGTTAGGTTTTTACTCCGCTAGACTCACGACTGATGCGAGGTCAGTTACACGCGTTCATTTCACACCAACCGATTATGCTAATACCTTGGTGTCGGCGCTTCCGTCCCGTTCAGCTCTTCAGACCACTACGAGACAAGCATTTATCGACCTGCTCCGAAAAACTACATGATCAGGCTTCTCCCTATCTGCTCGTGAGCTCTGTTGCATTGCCAGCTATCACATGGCCAGCATTGTCCTGCCATCTTTAAATGCCACCAAATAGACAGCACCCCTACACTTGAGGTCACCCCAGGGTTAACGTTTCCCTTACCTGCTATTGAAATTACCATGCCATTCAGCTCTGTTGCATTGCCATTATTATTTAATACCCCATATGCCATTCAGGTCACCACATTTCCCCATAGCTATCCTCATAATCACCAATCGGTCAATATTAACCCTACCAATTCTTGAGGTTTCCTCAAGTATCTACGTTATTCCCGCCGATAATGATGTCACCCAGTGCCCCATACCTGCGCTTGAGGTCGGTCTTCTTGCTGAGGTCGGCCGACAGCTGCTGCACCAGAGCCAGAAGGACGGGCTGCTGGAGGGGGCACGGCGGCGACTCGGCGAACAGCTGCTGCGGGTCCAGCATCTCACACAACATCACCACCAGGTCCAGGTCGGAGGCCGACAGCGCCTGGGGGCACAGGGGGGTCAGCAGGGGTCAGAGGCAACAGGTCGGAGGCTGACAGCGCCTGGAGGCACAGAGGGTCAGCAGGGGTCAGAGAGGGCGCAGGGGGCCAAGGAGGGGTCAGAGATGGTACAGGTCGGCGGTGGACAGCGACTGGGAACACAGGAATCATCAGGGGGTTAGACAACAGTCGGCAAGGGGCAGAGGTAGACGACGGAAGGAGTTGGTCGAAGTATGGCTTCAAATTCTGTCTCTTATGCTGAGGTCAGGTAAGAAACAAATCACTGTGGCATCAGTTCAAAACAGAGTACACCAGACACCACTAATGCACGCCATAATGTGCGTGGATTCGTGTCCAGTCATGGGTCGCAAAAGTGCGAGATGACCCGTTAGGGTCCCCACTCCCATAGGCGGTCGCTGATCCGACGGGGTCCCACTGGATAGCTAAGCAAAACCACTGCACAGTGAGTTACACCATCCCATCAGCACACACAAACACACAGCAGCAGTCAACAGCAGCCGGACGGGCGGCGAATGAAATCACAGCCGGAAAGAGCAAATACCGTCCGGCCGTGCGCACCCGAACACACGGAATACGTGAACGCCGCCGGACGCCGGTCTGCGGAATACGGGAACACACGCTGGCGCGCATGATAAACAGCACTGCTGGTGATCTGTTGAGAACAACAGCGGGTGGTCGACAGATGGGGAGCAATGCTGGGTCGGCCTGACTGGAGAGAGCTGAGCTGGGGTCGGCCCATCGGGAGAGAGCTTCGTAGGAGTTGCCTGGGTCTAACGGGCTTGAGCTACGCAGGGGTTGGCAGAGATCAGAAGACCTACCCAGGGAGTCGGTCCAAAGCTGGACAGAGCACACATACTTTGTCCGCCTCTGCAGCGATTTTCGTGTAGAGTCAACACAATTAATCCACCAGTTGCCTCGTACATCAAACACCAGACAGTGCTATTAGCTTTGCCACACAAAGCCGGGTGGTGAGGTAAAACGGTGGCTGATTCCGGTCCCGGTGGTGATACACGAAAACCAATGGCATTAAATCAGATGGTTTTGATCAATCGTCGAAAATGAATATTCTTAATTGAAGTTAGAAAGCGCGCAAATTTGAGAATGATTTGCGAACAACATATGTATGTAAATGAGATCCCACAACTTGCCTAAATAGGCCGTCAACGTGCAAAGCATGATATCCTCGCCAATGTTTGTGACGCTAGAATTGGAAAATTACAAATTTCACGGAAACTGTGATTTCCTTTTAACGATATTTCTTGCGCACCACTTATTAAACAAACTTGCAAGGCATCGCTCTTTCCAGGAAGGCATCAGGGTGTATCAAAGGACTTCACTTGGAACTTCAGAGACCCGGGGAGACGTTGCGGTCGAAAACATATCCCTGCCGCACGGCGCACGCACGCCCAAATTCAATTTCCCCCAGATCCGAGAAGCACTTAGATGGAAGCCAGTTGATTTCGGTCCAACAAGGCGATATCTCATTCAAATCACAGGCTAAGCCCGCCTTGCTGGCAGGCATCATCAAAACAGAATCCCCAGTTGGACTGGAACGTGCTCGTTCTGCAGAAACGTGCAGCGAGTTTGATAAAAACGAGAAATAACGGATAATGGGACGAACAAGTGCCTGTGATGATCAGCGGAACGCGAGGACCAGGCCCCACACCAGGGAGCCAATGGGGACAGTAAATTACCTAAGCGCACCGTACGAACGCCCTCATTCAGTATAAAACAGTTCACGCCAGCACATTATTTCCTGAGCGGAAAAAAATGCTACTCTGAAATGCTCTAGTCGCAGGATACAAAACAAGGAATGAGGAAGAAGTTATAATCATGCCATCTAAATGCATAAAGGCAAGATACAAGCTTACATTTTTAATGAAAGGTTCCCTTTAAAATATCCTTTCATTCCAACATCCATCTTGCGCAACTATGAAGGAACCGTTTCTAAATGCACTTAAAAACAAAAGCCACTTCAGAAACAGTCACAGTTATATGCTTTTGACAAACTGCATTTATAGTCATTTAGTTTTCGGTCAGCAAAGTTAAGAGAAAACCCGGAAATAGCTCCTTTATCTGTCGTGATTAATGATCAGCCAATGGCACATCACCATCACGCAGGAGCGCGTAACATCCACGCCAATGTGCCTCTGAAATCGAACTAGGCTAGAGCGAGTTTCACCAGCCACATAACGAAGTCTAATACCTCAGCGAAGGGCCGCACGTGCAGAGCGTTATTGGACGCCGGCCAGAGACACCTGGGCTATTTAATAGAGGCCACGGCTGGTAGCACATTCAATAACAGCGCTCATTAGATATGGAAAAAGCAAGGCTTTAATTGAGTCCATGTCAGCCAATGGGATTAATTTCTCTAAGACGGGGAAGGCCGACTTAAATCAGTCAGAGCCGGCTTAAAATCAGGATTAGCAGAAATGTCAATCTGAAACCAGGACTCAATGAATGAAAAATGCAGAAGAGATATATAATCCAATAGTGACCGACGGCAAAGGATACAGATGTGATACCTAAGGCACATTTCCGGCCCTGCGACACGATATCCTTATTTCATGCAATGGCACAATCCGAGGGTTCTACATCCCGTATTGGAAAACACAAAGCCAAGCTTCTTTTAATCCTATCATTAGATTTTGCAACATTCGGTATTAAATAGTTAAGATTACAAAAAAATGACGGCAAATTTAATAATCCAAACCGTGAATCAGGCTGAAAGAGAACCGGACGTTGACAGAAAATCCCCAGTCCAGGAGTTCACCAGTTCCATTCAAGATCAAGCTCCATTCACTTTTTGAGCAAAAACCGCAAACGAAGCTCACCTCACCATGCACCATGCACAATGAACCTCAAAATCATCGCCGCCGCACACATATGAAATCAGCGCACCCTCCTTTCCGCACCAGAGGCGGCCAAATCAATTCGTAGCCCAGAATCACACGAGCGGCGGCCGCGGTTCACCCGCTGGAATTAGATTGTGCCATTCAGAGGTGCTCCGGTCCAGCTCGTGGCGGCCGGGAAATGGTCCGCAGACCGCCCCAGCCGCGATGTAACGGGCTCACCCGTCAGCTAAGGAATGGTTTGAGTTCGGTATGAGGTATGCAGTGGCTAATATGACAGATAAGGGGTGGTATGAGTCCAGTATGGACGGATGGAGATGACATTGTTCAGGTATGGAATACAAAGCGAATCTGTAAATATCGGCCCACACGAAAGCTGTGGATATTATGAACGCGGATTGCAGGTCCAGTGTGGGATATCTAATGCAGCGGGCCAATCTGCTTTTTGCTTGGCTTCCTGTCACTGTGTCCGAGGCTCTGAAGTCAGCCACCCGCTAATGTCCTACCAACTATCATGCAGCTCTGTCCGACAGCCTCACACCACCAGCCAAACACATACCATCTGCCAATGAAACCCCTTCTGATAATTCAATCCCACCCATCAATGGGCCTACACATCAATCTCATCTCACCCATCAACTCCATCACGTTCACAAACCCCATCTCGCCCATCAGCCCCACCCCCTCCCACCTCACGGCACAGGCGCCAAGCCGGCTACCCATTACCTCCCTCTTTCTCTCTCCTCCCTTCAAAGCCGACCCGCGATCGTTCATCGAATTATGGCCGGGGCAGCGCGGTGGTCGGAAACCATTCGGCCGTTAGAACGCAATCAGTCGACCAGCACGATCGTGGCACGAACGGACATTGGTCGGGTCAAACCCGGTACGACCTTGGGGAAAACTAGGGACCGGCTTGGGGAATGACGAGGAATGTCCTGGAGAGATCTCGTACAACAGTGGAGGCTCTGATAGAGGCTAGAAGGGCGTTTGACGGCGGCGGAGCGATTTTCATTCAGGCGACAGCTCGGAGACGGCAGATCTAAGCGGTCAGCAACCATTATCGGACGGCGCGGGCCGGGGAAATTGATGGCGCCGAGTCGCCATGCTCGTCACACACGGCCAACCCGCCGTCACAGACGACACATGGCGGATCTGTAGCCAGTTATAGCCGTGACAGATCTCGCTAATTGTTACAAAGGCAGTCGGATTAGTTACCAGTTTTTGATAGAAAGTTTGATCCGTAGCTGAATACCGACGTTAAAATTGGATCTGTCGTCAATAATTGCTGTAAAGTTGGGACTCGGCCATTTTCCGTTGTCACAAGCCAGGTAACTGCCATCAGATTCAATGCGAAAAAAGATCCAAGAGAAACTAAGACAACCCATCCGTGACCTGTTCGCACGCACGTGCGCCGCATTCGCGTGATTCGTAGATCCCCTCTTCCCCTCCCGATGAAAATGAGCTGAAATACTTGGCCGACTGGATTGTCTTTTCTCAGCCGACTGGATCTCGCTGCTGGATCGCGTCAGATGGCGATTCACTCGGCTGATGTTGGCCGCTATTTACGAGAGCGCCGGCTGTCAATGTGGCTCGGTCCCCGCCTCGCCTGGCTGTGTCTGCCGTTCAAACACCGCCCACCGTTTATTGGCCACCGGATACTCGCCCACCGCAATCAAACTAAGCCACCATCCAATACAGACTGTCGCTGAGGGTCCACCCACCCAAACGCCCACCACTGCAACGTACCCCACAAACCACTACTGACAATACCCCAGCACCAACAGCTCACCCAACAGTCACCGTCAATATCCCACCGCCCACCACACCGCAGTACAGCTCACCCACCACCCACCAATTCCCCACCGCACCGCAGCTATCTCCAGCGGGCCCGCAGCCGCCAGCCAATATCGATGACACGGGCATCGTTCCGCGGGCGGCCGACACCACCGTACGGCAGATACCGCACCGGGCACCGGCAAACGCCCGAGAAAAAACATCCACCGTCCCGGCCCCCGAGCGACCGCGCCCATCAGCGAGGGGCGCCGGGTGGTTGTGCAAACACTACAAACAGCGGTTGGGTGGTGTTTGTATTGGGTTTTGATGTAATTATAGGCATCAAAGTGATGAGTGGAACGGTTAGTTTGGATGATTACCGGCAGTGAGTTCCAAACAGCCTTGGCGTGCGTCGGGAAGCAGATGGTGCAACAGGCGTAATCAGAACGAGCCCAAACATAACGCAGCTGGGTGAGCGCTCCGAATGAATACTAGTGAGCCACTATGGTCCGGAGAAAAAGGGTAATACAATCTCGCAATGGCTCTCCATCGCCGAGAATATGGCAAACAGATTATGCAGATGGAGGAAACTGCTACCGGGAAAATAACGGGTGGTGCCTGGAAGCGTCAAAAGCTGAAGATGAAACCAGAATCCGTAGTGGAAGCGAGAGGCATTGGACGAAAGAAGGTGGATGGTATTGGGCAACAACAGGCTGGCCATATGGGTCAGATACAAGCATCAGACACAGATACCTGATTCTCGCCCATATGACTGTGAATGCTACCGGCATTGCTCAATGCCGAGTAAAACAACGCAAGTGTCGTAAGCTTACTGACACAACACGTGAGGATTCCATAAACTGCATAAAATCAATTGTCCTATTTCGTTGTCACAGAAGCGAGGCTGTTAGGCATTAGGTACGTACTCTCCATAAATGGAACGTGGTTTGACGATAGATAAAAAAGCATAAAAACTAGTGTAGCAGCTGATAAGACGCAAAAAATGACATGGTCAGCGACTGTTATCACAATTCAGACCAAATCATATATTCTAACAAACGTCGTCTGAAATTCGGCAAATCAGTCTCTTTCACCCATCAACAATTCTACTGACGAGCGATGAATAATTCAGTAACCGCATCGTAATTTGATTTGGCGATTAAACTCCGAGCCCATTCCAGGATCGCAAAGGTCGCACCGAAGTTCCACCTCTCCAAACATTACCAAACATTCACAGGGAATGGGATTCCAGTCTATGCAAGTTAGTTCGGCAACACACTGCGAAACTTTCTTATTGCGGAGATCTGTCAGTTTGGAAACAATGAAAATCGAACGAAACATCCATGACAATCTAAAATCACCGATTTTTTTCGACAAAAAATAGTCGGTGATTGGTGGCTAAATGAGGATAAAAGCCGTTCTCTGTTTTCGATTAGAACGACAATACAGGTCACAACTCACAGCAGACACTTTTGCTGCCGGCGCAAACACTTTACTGAGGTTAATGGAGGGCCTGCCTGGAGAGATCGCCGTGCGCGCAAACAATCTATTGGAGTTACTTCCAATCACTGATATTTTCACCGGCACAATATATCATAAGTGAGAGAACCCACAGCACTGAGATGAGTAACAGAACAGATGTCATTTCACGTTGTTCCTACACAAGGTCAAGTCGCAGGCTCTGGCCGAGCAAACAATAAAAGCGAGCTCGAAAACGGGAAAACTAATACATCTGGTGCTGACAGAACCCAGAAGCAATAAAAGTGCACCCTGATTAATTGAACTGAGCAACTGGCGACCGACAAATTTATAACGCACCGACTAATATCAGTGTCAAATTGAATGTTAAAATGTCATCAAAACCGCGATCTGATAATGTTACGAATGAGTATTGCTGTTTGATAGTTCCGTGCTGATTTGTGACCGTTGACGACATTAGCTTTCAAACTTGTGACAATTTTGAAGAAAGGCCGTTTTTCAACCATATCCATATCAAAAGTATGACACATTGTGTAAACTTGGACCATATTTTAGGTCGATTACCTTCCACCGAACGGCATCACCCCGACGTCAGCCTGAGTCATTCTCTGAATTCGAATATTATCACTGCCCAGAACGGGGCCACACAATTGCATGGCGCCACATTTCTCCACTGAGGGACACTCAATGGAGTTACCGGAATGCATTCAGCCGGCTCTCCACCGTCAGCAAAACCGTTCACCGAACTGTCCACGGCCTTTGAACGCAAATCCGACTCAAGACGGCGGCCGCTCCTCTCGGCAATTCAATGACGGTTCGTATCCGACCGTATCAGTGGGACGGTAACTAAATGACCGGAGCGGGACGGAGCGGACGACGGTGGTGGCGCGTGGCTGACGCTACCACACCTCACACACCACCGAGATACCGGGTATATGGAGACACGCGGCCGGCGGAGGCTGCAGGCCTTCCTGTCACGAATGTTCCATTGACTTGTTATCATGTGAATTAGGTATGTCATGGCGCTTATGAGAGAAATCAAGGCTATATGGTCGCAACATTTTCTAAGAAACTATTATCACAATCAATAAGCACCCCGCTCATTCCTGGTTTCCCATGTTACTTTGTGGGGTTGGGGGCACCCGGACTGCGGTGTCTATCGGCGCCCATATTCCTGGTTCCCCTTACTAACCCCACCGCCTCTCTGAGTTACCAGTTGGCACTCACCATCTGGAAGGCGGGGTCCCACTGTTTGCTCTCCACCAGCCGGGCGATCTGCTGGCGCCGCTGTTGCTGCTGCTGCTGCTGCTGCTGTACGGTAGGGGTCACCGCTCCGGACGGCACGGCCGGGGTGGCGGCCCGCGCACTGTGCTCCTCCAGGGCGGCCGACACACTGCGGCGGATCTCCTCGCGGACCTGGCCCAGAAACGCCGCCTCCTCCTGTCTGTAACACGGAACAAGACGTACGGTTAGCGGGGTGAGGGTGAATGCGGCAGACGGAGACCAGACATGATCTGATATGATGAGACACAGACTTCTCTATATATATAGAGAAGTCTGTGGATGAGAAATGATCACAGTGACACCATTTTCAGATGAGATTATCATGATACCAATTTCAGCCCATCAATGAAATGATATAGGGGTCTGGCACCTAAGGTGACATATGGCGATGAAACGAGTCTCATCAGCTATAAAAAATCACGTTTGCAAAAGTTACCATAAGCCGGATTGGCTGAAGAAACGCCCACAAAAAAAAAACAATTGTACTGACTTCGCCAATTTCAGGAGAGTGGACCTGAATATTGCATTACATTGGTCAGCTCTAGCCGTTTTCACGCTGGTCCCGTTTCCAACACGGAACATAACATCAGTTATAGGACTAACACTGGCATAATGCTGCCCCGTTCCGCCGGGGATTTGGCAGTGGCTATGTTTGGAACGCGACGGGCTCTGCAGGCCGTATATCGTTTAAATCGACCGACACGACCGCGAAGGTAAATCATGGAAGTTGACACCATGGCTAGTTCTATAATCAGTAGCTTACGAATCTGTTTATAATCGACACATAACGCTAGTTTTTATCACTTACAGTCGGCAAAGCTATTTTCTGATAGCACACCAATAGGCATCGAGTTCAAATTCAGCTTGCTTATTGTGTATTTAGTTCTCGTATGGCTGAGCTGTGTTCAGCCGTGTGTCTCGTTCCTTTTTCTATTTTCCGTGACTAGTTCGTGTCCCGAGCACCCACCTGTGTTTCTCGTGCCTCTGGCGTTCGTCTTTGACTGTGTTGCCGAGGTGTTCGACTGAGAGTCGGACGGCGTCCAGCGATGCCTGCACGTGCTGCAGTAAGGGCTCGCGGTGCCGCCGCGCACGGTCCGCCTGTTGCTCCAACTGCTGCAGATCTGAAACAGGCAGAGTAGTGCCGCGGTCAGGACGGAAGGGCACCGGCGCGGATACCGTGGGTTGAATGGAGGTGACAGGCGCAAAGGTTGGCCAGATGAAGTCATCAAATGTTTGCGAGGTAAGAGCGTTTGAAGTTTGGGATATGGAAATAGGGAACTGGTACTGGTTTTCGAAGTTCACCCAACTAGCATGAGCTTCACAGGCGAGTCTGACAAAGTGGTCCGTTGAAAGGCGACAATTTTGCAACAACAGGGCATGGAGCTATATACTCCTACTGTAGGCTGGCGTTGGCATGGCTGCAGTATCCACATTCCCTTGCATCTGTTCTTGTACATCACCTCCCGACACTCGACAAGACAACAATCAGCCCTTAATTTCAAGAAGCCTCTACCTATCGCGCCTTATCTCGGCGACTATTTACAGGCCACACGCCGGCGAGTTGTGCCTCTCCCACAGGGGCGCACCGCCTCATTCTGTCACAAACAGAAACCGACCATCCGTAACGAGCCGATACAAAACCCGGCCGGCCTTTGGACCGGAGCCGGCCGGTCGAGACAGCCTCCGAGCGGCCACCTCGATCGAGAGTAGCCAGCCGAGACGGCAGTGGAAACGGCCGACTGGGGGCGAAATCCTGTCAGCGGCTGACCGGCCACCGCTACGGCTGATTGTGAGTGAGGGTTTGAGGAGTCACAACAAAACGGAAGATCGGTGATGATCACTTAGGATTATTGCAGCATGTTCAATATTGCCATAACACGGCAGTAGTTGACAAAAATTTAACTGTGAAAAGATACGCCGTGGCACGATTTTCAGCCATGAAAACCCTGTTAACATAACGACACTCATCCCTATGATCCCGACCAATCCTTTTAATCGCGCTCTACCGCCTACCAACGACCACCCGAAATGCTGTCCACGTACTAGCATCGCTATCGGAGGTGATCCCGGCGCAAAAAGCTGCCATGGACGCGGCCGACCGACCACTCGTCTCAATTAGAGAGAATCCCTGAGTCATCAGACGGCATTAGGCGTCGACGGTCGGACCATGGCACAATTAGGCGGCGGGGCCGAACGGCCGCCGGGCGGGGATCAATGTCGGATACTGCAGCGCGACGGGTGCGGCTAATTGTGGGCTACGCTTTTGCGAAACTGCCAAGTTTGGCAGCCCAACTCGACCAAAGCGAAATACGCCTAGAACCATCCTGGTAACCTGTCAGACCGACTCAGGCAGACTCAAACTGACTCGACCGACTCAACCGACTCAAATCGATGCCGATCGACTCAGACATACTCAGAACGACTCAGACAGACTCAGGCAGACTCAAACAGACTCAGGCAGGCTCAAACCGACTCAGGCAGACTCGACCGATTCCGATCGGCTCAGACCGACTCAGATAGACTCAGAACGACTCAAACTGATTCAGACCGACTCAACCGACTCAAATCGTTTCCGATCGACTCTGACAGACTCAGGCGGACCCAGGCAGACTCAAACTGACTCGACCGACTCAAACCGATTCAGATCGACTCAGACCGACTCAGATCGACTCAAACTAACTCAGACCGACTCAACCGACTCAAATCGATTCAGATCGACTCAGACAGACTCAGAACGGCTCAGACAGACTCAGGCAGACTCAAAACGACTCAGGCAGAATCTAACTGACTCGACCGACTCAAACCGATTCAGATAGACTCAGATAGACTCAGAATGACTCAGACCGACTCAACCGACTCAAATCAATTCCGATCGACTCAGACAGACTCAGAACGACTCAGACATACTCAGGCAGACTCAAACCGACTCAGGCAGACTCAGAATGACTCGACCGACTCAATCCGATTCAGATCGACTCAGACCGACTCAATCTGACTCAGGCCGACTCAAGCGACTCAAATCGATTCCGATCGACTCAGACAGACTCAGAATGACTCAGACAGTCTGTGAGTCTGTCTGAGTCAATCGGAATCGATTTGAGTCGGTTGATTCGGTCTGAGTCAGTTTGAGAGTCGTTCTGAGTCTATCTGAGTCGGTCTGAGTCGATCTGAATCGGTTTGAGTCGGTCGAGTCAGTTTGAGCCTGCCTGAGTCGGTTTTAGTCTGCCTGAGTCCGCCTGAGCCTGTCTGAGTCGATCGGAATCGATTTGAGTCGGTTGAGTCGGCCAGAACGACTCAGACCGACTCAACCGACTCAAATCAATTCCGATCGACTCAGACAGACTCAGAACGACTCAGACAGACTCAGGCAGACTCAAACCGACTCAGGCAGACTCAAACCGACTCAGGCAGACTCAGAATGACTCGACCGACTCAAACAGATTCAGATCGACTTAGACCGACTCAGTCTGACTCAGACCGACTCAACCGACTCAAATCGATTCCGATCGACTCAGACAGACTCAGAACGACTCAGACAGTCTGTGAGTCCGTCTGAGTCGATCGGAATCGATTTGAGTCGGTTGATTCGGTCTGAGTCAGTTTGAGAGTCGTTCTGAGTCTATCTGAGTCGGTCTGAGTCGATGAAGTCAGTTTGAGTCTGCCTGAGTCGGTTTGAGTCTGCCTGAGTCCGCCTGAGTCTGTCTGAGTCGATCGGAATCTATTTGAGTCGGTTGAGTCGGTCTGCGTCAGTTTAAGTCCTTCTGAGTCTATCTGAGTCGGTCTGAGTCGATCTGAATCGGTTTAAGTCGGTCGAGTCAGTTTGAGTCTGCCTGAGTCGTTCCGAGTTTGTCTGAGTCGATTGGAATCGAATTGAGTCGATTGAGTCTGTCTGAGTCAGTTTGAGTCGTTCTGAGTCTATCTGAGTCGGTCTGAGTCGATCTGAATCGGTTTGAGTCGGTCGAGTCAGTTTGAGTCTGCCTGAGTCGGTTTGAGTCTATCTGAGTCTGTCTGAGTCATTTTCAGTCTGTCTGAGTCGATCGGAATCGATTTGAGTTGGTTGAGTCAGTCTGAGTCAGTTTGAGTCGTTCTGAATCTATCTGAGTCGGTCCAAGTCGATCTGAATCGGATTGAGTCGGTCGAGTCAGATTGAGTCTGCCTGAGTCGGTTTTAGTCTGCCTGAGTCGTTCTGAGTCTGTCTGAGTCGATCGGAATCGATTTGAGTTGGTTGAGTCTGTCTGAGTCAGTTTGAATCGTTCTGAGTCTATCTGAGTCGATCTGAATCGGTTTGAGTTGGTCGAGCCAGTTTGAGTCTGCTGAGTCGGTTTGAGTCTGCCTGAGTCGTTCTGAGTCTGCCTGAGTCGATAGGAATCGATTTGAGTCGGTTGAGTCGGTCTAAGTCAGTTTGAGTGGTTCTGAGTCTATCTGAGTCGGTCTGAGTTGGTACGTTATCTTCTCCTACCCGGTGACGTCACAGCATGCGTCGGCTTGGCACGGCCGCCACAGGTGGGGTGCGGCTAATGGTGGTATCTCGCTTTGGTCGAGTTGGGCTGCAACTTGGCGGTTTCGCAAAAGCGTAGCCCACAATTAGCCGCACCCCAGCGCGACCGGGACGGCACGGATATCCGATCAGTACTGGAGTCGATCGCGGCTCCAAAGGGAATTCGGTATGTGCCGCACAGCCCGCGAGGCGACAACGGCGGAATAACCAGGGGAGTTGCCATGATCGAGGGTGGCATGAGCCGGAGGTAGGAGGAGACCTCCATTGGGCAATTTCTGGAGCCACGTGGAGGAATTGGAGTTCTAGGACGAATTTAGAAACGGAATTCGGAAATAAGGAAAGCATGTCAGGACACATTATGCTTGCCACCGATTTGGGTAACTGACAGGGTCAGGCGTAACACAAAGTCGTGAGCGTCCAAATCAGGTTCACGATGTGAGCCCCGGCAATGTTATTCCCTGTCAAACCTCACACGAATATCTGTTTCAATTATTTTATCACACTCATTTTTTTTTTAGATCACAACAGTACCGTCAAAGGCGAGTAACACCTCACGGACGACACTCGGGCGGGGTCTGTTCGCAGTCCCCCCCCCCCCTTCAGCACCGGCGGCTCATAGCCACTCTTGCGGGCGATCCATCTGGTCTGGCGGCCGGCGCTTACCGAAATGGGCCGCGGAATATCGGCCGCGAATGGAGCCGGCCAGAGCGATCTGAGACCGAGACGGACGAACGACCGAGACTGAGAGCTTCCGTCGCGGGTATGGGATTCACGATTGCTGCGATGGTGGCGAATGATGCGCCCCGTTTGTGGGCTGGTCATGTGCTTGGACTGCACTGAATGATGATGCCCGGGTATCAAGCTTCAGACTTCAAAAGATCTGTGTATACTATATCGGGCACTATGGAAGCCACGTCTGTCCATGACTGTCTGTCTGAAGACATGTCCAGCAGTGACGGATCGATCCCAAGTGGTAGGTAGTAGGTACATTTAAAACAATAAAAAACTGAGCGTTGCTAAGAAGCTGAGCTTTTCACTTTTCAACCACAATATTTCGACGAAAAAACTGGATGACTATCCATTTTATGTTCACCAGTCACCACCATATTTTATTGGCTTATTTTAAATCACTTTCAACCTGGAAACCATTGTGATACCGCTCTCCCACTGACCCCCGTGGCATATCTCTGACCCTAAATTAAAGGCCATCCGCCGTCCCCTGTAAATCATTCCATCCTGTCCGGCGACCCGTGAGAGCTCGGGCACGAGTCGAGACCAGCCAGCCGGCTGACCGGCCCAGGGCTCCTTATTGAAAGCACCGCCCGACCAATAACCCGTCCAATGAGTAACGGTGTGCCCCGATTACTGGCTTAGCGCCGCCATGGCCTAGGGCCAGCCCGCCAATTTTACGGGGCCCGTAACTTGTCCAGATAAGTTACTTTATTGGTGGAAGCCGGGAAGGCGCAGTTAAGACGTTGTGGTGGTTCCAGGCAAAGCTGCGACCAGGGTGGCCGGGGCCGTCTACTGGCAGTAGACTTTTTTTGTCTGGTGCTGATTACGCAGGCAGATTCTAGCAAACATTATCAGTCCTGTATTTGCATGGTCAAACAGGTAGGTATACGCAGCAATCAGGGTCGTAACTTCATCAATGAAAGCATAATCGGTCATCTTGAGTAAACGTACAAATTAATGTACTTTAAAAAAATTTGACATAGGTAACGCAAGCAGTAACACGTAGAGATATTGAAGATCACACAATAAAAGGCATTTCTTGTCCCAGTCACTAATGAAATGCAGGACACAATAGAATAATTAATCATTTTGATACAGTGAACGATTAATCGAAAGCAATTATTGGCTCCTATCATCCAATTACGTTTCGAGTATTAGACATTAACATACTAAAATCAAAGGAGCCACCAGACAGGATGGGTTACTAATTATATCTGGTCACGCATTCGAGCGACATATAGCCCTGATTCTTTTTTAACGAAACACCGATAATTTTTCTTTTGACTTCAGCTGATCACTCGTAGAACCCATCCCACTCTCTACCCACAGAGCCTCAGTACCGTCAAACCCGCGGTCGATTGAATCGATAGGCAATACTCCACTGATACCAGCGGGGAACACACACACTAATAACGTTCCCGTGACCGTCCCTTAGGAAAACCGGCTGCCGGCCGACTGCTATAGCTGTGGTAGCGCGAAACGAATGACACACGCAGTAGGCGTGAGCCGAAAATACCGATTGAACCGGGCCATCGCGGTTAGCGGTATGGGGAGTAACGCCTACAAAAGGCCAAACAATGGACGGCCGTTCATCCATTGAACGATGAGTGCTACATTAGATAATCGGCGATTATGGCGACATGACGTGTTCTGGACCGACGAGGATTATTCCAGTTTCAACCGGTTTACGTGGTAAGAATTACGCAATGTTCAGCATACGTGACAACATGTTATAGTCACATAAGTCGAAATAACGAACAAAGTGTTGGGATGGATTAAAAACCATAAACCGTCCCCGTCAAATAATTAGTGTCCTCCTTTCCGTTCTAGCCAGTCGTGCTAACAAGGCATTATAGCCGATTCACCTTTTTCACTACGGTTTACACATTGGCCAGCCCTTCTGTACGCACTTTCCCCTGACTCAACCCCCCCCCCCAAGCCAGTAAGTCACGTGACGACACTCATCATTAACACTCCCTCTAACTAATCTCTCTCTCTCCCTCTCTCTCTCCCCTCCCTCCCTCCCTCTCTCTTTTTTATCTCTCCCCCCTCTCTCTCCTCCCCTCTCACTTACACTCTTTGGTTCCCGCTGAGAACGTTCCGTTGATCTGGTGCACCATCTCTCGTGTGGAGCGCTCGAAGGCCGGCAGGGCGGTGCTACTGAACACCTCTCTGTAGCGCGCCACCATAGCCTGCTGCAGGCTCTGTGTCAGCGCGTGCGCCACCGACTCGCTCACCGCCTGCCGGGAGATCAGGGGGTCAGAGGGTCAGGGTCAGAGGTCAGGGTCAGAGGTCAGGTCAGCGTACGCCACTGACTCGCTCACCGCCTGCCGGGGTCAGAGGTAGGGGGTCAGGGTCGGGGTCAGGTCAGGTCAGACCGTCAGCAAGTGTGACAACTCGTTCATTGCCTGCCGGGATCAGAGGTCGAAGAGTCATCGTCATAAGGCCAAGGTCAAGAATTGAAAAGGCTAAGGATGAAGTCAGGGTCAAGCTAGACGTGTTAAGCTTAGGAGGCCAGGCTTTAGGTCAAGGGTGAAATTAGGGGTAAAAAAAGCCAAGGTCAGATCATGGGCGTAAAACGGTAAAAAAAGAGATCCCTGGCGACCAAGTGGCATCGGCAGGTTTTGAGTTAGACAATAAGCTAAAAAAGACCAACTGGACGGTATGCAGGCACTCAGAGGCAGCTACTGCCTATCGTTGAGTGGTCAGTGGATCGGTCAGTGAGGGAGCCAAAGTTTCTGAGCCGTCATAACCAAGTGCCTTAATTACAACCTTCCCTGGGCACATACAGCCAAATTGCGTGGGTCCAACGCTGGTATCATTGGTAGAAAACGTTTGGATAAAATGACAGTGGTTACAAGTCATTTGGAAAAGGTTAATAATTACAAAAAAAAAATCAGTACTGATGATCTCCTGAAAAGAAATGATCTGGTTCGACGGAAGAAAGCGACCATTAACGTTAAAACCACAGCTCAACGTAATGGTCGAGAGCACACCGACCAAAAACAACTCATCCACATATCATAATTAGGGCTTCAAAACATGTTTCCCGTGCGCGGCGCAAAAGGCAAAAATTACGTGGTTCCTTGAAAAAGAGTTCCGTAAAACTTTTGAAACAAAAAATTAACCACAACGCTGACTTTATGTCCATGACTCAACAGTCAACACCACAGGCGAATAAAACTTAAAAAAAAGCGAGCGGCAATCCGCCGAGACCAGCTAGCACCGCGTTACTCCATCCTGCCATCGACGGCAGCCACTCTGGGAGATCCAGCGCCAGCCGGTGGGGTCATCCGCTCGCCGGCGGGCCGCCCCGGGCAGCGCCGAGGGCCACTTTTGCCAGCCGCCGCCGGCTACTTGAGACCATTGGCGGCCGGCGGCACGGCCCGAACGAGAGGCTTGGGCGGGGGAGCGGTGCCGAGCGGAGGGAGGGCAGAGAGGCAGAGAAGCAGAGGAGCGGGCATTGCACAGCGCCTCCGTCAGCAGCGGGACGAGAGGAGGGGAGGGGAGGGGAGGGAGGCGGGAGACGGATGGGGAGATGAAGGACCCCAGAGACCAGATGGAAGGGAGGTGATAGCTCGGAAAGAAGGCCGCCTGTCAGTGTCCAGGATAACGGGAGGGATAGGCAGGGGAGGGGAGAAGACGAACTTTTAGATTGGCAGCACGAGCATGAGATAAAAGACGGCTAATTAAAGAACTAATTATCGTGGGTGAACGCTTAAAAAGTAGTCGAAGAAAAGCTGGCCTAGTATCCAACATGAAACGCCTCCCGGACAATCAATTACCGTAGTTTAATGCCTACGAATTGCAGATAAATGAATAAATGATCCAACCAACGGTATTACCAGGTCTTGCTAGAGAGGCATGTCGGAATATGCTAATTGGTTTTGACATAGAAAATATAAATGGTGTAATAAGAAATAAATGGTACGGCTCTCGCGAGATTAAGCGGTAGGTTTTGCACTTTTACATTTCCGGTTATATCTCAGAAACTAATCGATCTACGATGAAGCCATTTTACACGATCATGGCTGGCTTGTGAACCAACATGCCGATCGCATCTTCAACACTTAAAAGCTTAAGACGACGAAGATATAGCCTGAAATACACTAAATTGTCTAGGTGCAAGACCTACCGCTAAAGCCCGCGAGACCTGTACAGCCCTCAGCAGACTGCGTGGTAGGTATTCGTTTTTTTGACAAAACCGGTAATAACTCAAAGAATATGTGATCTGTCGGTCGGAATTCGTTGCAAATAGAGGCACCATGCTCCACTCCTACGATTGGGTCTATCACTAAACAAAGTATATGCTTTGTGTGGCAACAAAATGCAACAGTTTGTTTTGGGGGCAAATATAAACTTTTGGGTTTTGTTGCCGAACTGGATGGAAAATGAATACGATAGTAATGTCCATCTAAGGTGCGGAGTCTCGCGCGTCTTGCTGTTACGATTTCCGAGTGACCGATAGCATAGTATCCGCGATATTCTCGGTTTTGTCGAAAAAAGAATACCTACCACGCAGTTTGCAGAGGGCTGTACATATAGGTACTTTCCTAAGAACATTGAACCAAATATGCCTTATCAGGTTTACCATTCCCAAATGTGCTTGCTTTGGAAAGCCGCTTTAAATTACGGGGTGGAGCACAAACAACTGAAGTGGATTCTTGCTTCAGAAATATGTTTGAAAAAAAACTGTGCCGCAATTGCGATAAACTCACTCGAGACACGAAAAGAAAATTACTTATTGCGAAATTAACACAAAGAGATCCGAGTAAATATTCTGAAACGAAACTAAAATCATTACCGAAGTGCACAGATGCGACAACACAATCTCAAACACATCTCAATTCTCAGTATTTCTTGAAATGCAAAATGAATCGCTAAAAGCGCACACGTACCTAATACTAAGCAATTTAAAGAATTAGCAATATGCAGCGCATTGATCCCGCGGAAGCGGCTTTATCGCCATTCGCCGGACAGGCAAAAGCACTCTCAAGTGCATCACAGTCCAGCTATCGAACCAAGGCGAACGGAAAAGGCAGAGCTCCGCGCCGCCAATCCAACGACGCACCAGACGGAATCGTGCCGCTTCGTCGCCAGTACCACGTGGCCGCGAATTTCTTCCGAGCGCTAACGATCCGAGAAGGCTGAATAGTTAGAGTCGGCCAGAACGTCCGGCCATTGAGCACGGGACCGACTTCGCGGTGACGACTTTCCGACCGGTGAAAAAGTTAGTCAGGTTCTGCCTTTTTATTGCAGAAAGTCGCGGTGACACACCGCATTCAGCGTACTGAATACTTAGCGAGTTCAACCTTATATTGGATGACAGTCACTGGAAAAAGAGAAGGAGGAGGGAGGAATCAATGGGAAGACGAGGAAAGAGGAATGGAGACAGCAGAACACTGAGGACCGAGAAGAGTTCTCCCCAAAGATCGGCCCATCAACTCAGCGGAACCACTAACCCGTGGAGCGCCTAAAGTTTCTGTCAGGCTGGAACGATGCAGTAAAACTGGGAATGAAATCAAATAGCGCATGTAACATGGAAATGATACAGGAAACACTCAACTCATCCAGGATACATTTCAAATACCTTTTCGTTGTAACCCAATATCACAACCACAGCCGACCAGCACTTGACAAAAGACTGAGCCAGGGTTATGAGTTACGACCTTCCAGGAGCCGTATCTTCAGCTCCACACCGGCACCCGTCTCTGTCAGAAGACGCCACCAAATCCAACAAGGCCGTCTCAAATCCCACTCGCGTGATGTGTCTAGGGTCCTGTCAGCTGCGGACTTCTGTTCCTGAAGATACCCACCCGACGACGACCATTTGCCGGTAGGCTCAAGTGGTGTCCGGTTGGTGAGTTACAGTTTGTAAGTGGTGTCCGGTTGGTGAGTTACAGTTTGTAAGTGGTGTCTGGTTTGTGAGTTACGTACCTTGACGTTGACAGTTTTGCCGATGGATTCTTTGACGGCGGCCTCGACGTCACCGATTCGGGCGCTCATTTCGTGCCGAATCTGGCCCTCGAGCGGCTTCAGGCGACTGGTGACCACTGGAACAGCACAACGAAGGACACGGTCCGTTCAGAGATGGGCGGTAATTAAGCTGGCGTTGGTTATTAAGTGAATGTGCTTGGTGATCTGAAAATTCAGTCTTGTTAAGCATATCTAAAAAAGTTGGGTCTATTTAACTCGTATGAAACACATACTGAAACTGGTTAGAACAATGAGGCCTTTTTCTGCAAGAAAATACTAAGGATTCAAGAAAATGTTCCAGATGATCCGCTTCTGTGTAATCGAGGCTAAGCGAAACATGTCACTAAATGTTATCGCTATAGGACCGGCGCCAGTAATACAGAAGATGCCATTATTCTCAGACATTTGATAAAAAAAACATTTTCCAAAAAAGGAATCGCTATATGTCATTCGTAGTCAAGTTGCATTACACTCTTGACTTCTATAAGGAAAAACCGCTTCCTTTAATCTTTAGCTTCGACTTCGAAAATGGTTGCGGAAAACGTTATGGATCCTGGCTATTACCTTTTGTTTTGAAGTATAATTTTGCAACTATGGAAGTCGAAACCTTTGTTCTCTGAGTTCAGTGGACCTCACATTAGAAAACAATGCGTTAGCTTTTGCTCTAAACTTTGTTAAGAGTGAGGAACTTGACCCTCACTAAAAACACATTGAACTCGTATTTGCTAGAACAATCTGGACCGAATATCGACTTTTAGCGCAACAGCGGTGAGTGGATAAGAACTCCACGGTCACAGCTCAGCAGAACAAGGCCTCTCGGGGCTATTTCAGGAACAAGTAGAACACGTTAGAAGCCACCGAACAAAAACAGCCAGCAGTCCGTGGCTAAAAACATCGCACCGTGAAACTAATTGCCTTCAGGGCGTGGAGCGGAACACCGCGATTGCATTAAATGTCACAGGTCAATCACTGACTATGAGTGGCGACCAGGAAAAACAACATCCACGCTGGCATTTCATTACTGGTTCGATTTCAGCTAGCAGTGGTCGGGCAATAAGGCACAGCACGCATCCTGGAACAACCACAAAGCGAACAGCCACAATATCAACCTCGGCCACTTTACGTAACATTAATTTACTACCTGAACACATTAAACATTGACAGGTACCCTAATACATTGGCGAAAAATGACGCGCATTTTGGTGACCTGTACAGGTATTAAAATATGGGTTCATATGATTCATGAAGAGACATTCTTAATACTTTTAGACAGTTCTGAAAATGAGCCATCAGAGGAGAACTACGCAACATCGACCACTGATTTGACCTTGATTCGAGCTGCCTACCCTCTTTTAACTAACAATGCCCATTTGGATTCAATAATAGGCAGACACTCATTGTTATCTGTCGAATACCGCCTCACAAGTTATCGTCAGCGTCAGTTCTCGAGGCATATGTGGTAACGGGAAGTTCCACTAAAGGACACAAATACCAGACGGCATATGGCGAAGCTAGAGGTTAACAATGCCCGGGAGTGCAAGGATTGCAATTCAACTCGACATAAACTGAAAAAGAAAAACATCTTACGTTATTCTCAAACGCACTGAGGGTCGAATCTCCAAGTTGTCAACGCTCTTGACAACACGTACAAATACAATCAGACGCTGCCAAAACCACCGTCGGCACTGCTCTACTCTTAACAGCGCCCATCCCGAGCAGCAACCACAGTGGAGGGGACGCGGCCAACAAAGAGCAGTCGCCTCGGGTTAGATCGGAACCTCGTTCAAATAATGGAGGCCAGTCGCGGACAGAGCCGTCGGAAGAAAAACGGTTACCGTGCGTCGGAAAATGGACCACAGAAGCGGGGTCGGTAGAAGTTCGGTGTCCTCCTCAAGTCTGTTTTAAATCCACCTGAATGATGACAGTGGTAGTATCTTATAGCGAATTCTAGATCCGTTTATCATGGACAGTCATTAGTCAGAGGAAGTGACGGAAATTCGCAATAAATGTGAAAACAGCTCACTGAGCTAATCAAATAAACTAGTTTTTGATATTCCACTATGAGCCGCTGACAGTTTTTAAATGTCTTTTGCTACAAATGCTACAAATGGTGCCCAGCAAGTCATCTAAAAACCTGTCATATTAGGTCAAGCGACAAGCATACGCGCTCCAGAGTACCAAAACTTTTCAAATCAACCAGGCGGATTTGGCCTTTGAAGCAAAACGCAACTCCAAACAACTTTGGGGCACACCGATTTGTTTCGAATTGTTTTAATGGGATTACCAACACGAAGAAAAATAAGCGTGTGCCCATTGGCAACCGATAGAGAAAATGAGAATCCATCCTTACAAGAAACGAGAAGAAAAGCAATTATCTGCGCCATCGAGCGGCACAATGATGCATAGTCACAGAGCAATCACCTCCAACATCCGCTTCCCTACCCAATACCGTACCGCCCTCCTAACACTCCCCACTGTACCCACACACTCCCCCCCCTCCCCCCCAGAGTACTCACGCGGCAGTACGTGGTCCTTGAACTCCTGTTTGACGGCGCTGTCCACCTTCTGTTTGATGGTGGACGATAGAGAGCCGGTCATCGAGCTGATCTGACGCTCCAGACGCTGCCGCTCGTCCCGGTCCCGGTTCAGAAGCAGGTCCTCAATGTGCCTGTCGGGGGAGAGGGTGGGAAGGTTTAGCAGCAGGTCCATGTGCCTGTTGATGCAGGGGAGGGGTGGGGGAGGGAAAATTCAGAAGCAGGTCCTCGACGTGCCTGACCGTAGGAAAGTGGAGGGTCGTTAGTTCCACTTCAACAGGAACAGTCATTGGGAATGAGAAAGAAGGGGTGCCTGTAAGATGCGCGGATGAATGGTTGAGAGGATAATAAGCAGTTAAAAGGTCGGGTAAAGGTACGGCTCATCATACTATGACCTTATCATCACCGTAGGCAGCTTTCCCTGCACTCTTCACTTCATTGCAATAAAAATTATGCTTTGACCACCGATAAAATTAGCGAGACAACAAGCTTTGCACACGGAACTCTAAAGAACAGGTTCATTTACTTAGCTTGCAGAAAACTAATTACATCAAAGACATTAAAAAAGATCAGTGTCGAAAAATCCCCGAGCAAGAAATGGAAGCTTAATGCATACATACATTACTGCATTTGTTAAGTGTTGAATGTGTCACATTTTCAAGCATTATTTTATCAAAAAACTAATTAATAGACGGCTTTCCAACGGGGAAGAATAATAAGGAGTTACCCACAGATGAGATTCCGGGAAAATTTATGAGACCCTTCCAGTGTTTGAGCCGTAGAAGGTTTGCTCAGGCAGGTATGTAAGAAAATAATTAAGAAGACACAAAGGAGGAAGGAGGATAGATTGTTCTTTTAATAAATAAAAAATATACATTTCGTAGCTTCTGGACGGTTTAATGCACATGTTCAAAAAAGCCTGTCATTTTGAGAATGCATTTTCTGTGGCTCAATCTTAACATCAATGAACAAAAACCGGTGACGGGGTCTAGTAAAAGTTCCGATAACACGAAACGATTAATGTCATGCTCACGAATAACTTCTCCTTTTCTTACACGATCCTGCAACCGGAAAGAATTCCGACATAATGTTCATGTCAAACGGACGTAATTTAACTCAGTGCTGTCGGCAGATTTAGAAAACTGAACTGTCATTGCAAGTATAAACGATAATAGACTTCGCATGATCTGTGCTTCCATTCGGCCAAAACTTATTACGAAAACGCACTCCTCGTAACGGCGCCTGAAATGCCCTATTGATAACCGATCCAGGCACAGGGTTAAACGATCCCCCGGCAAACACAGCAGCTAAAATATGCCCCAGGGATACTGCGGTAAAAAGATGCCCCATATATCGACCGAATGACCCGCACAATACACAGAACCATTCCACAGAGCAATAATACTAACATTGTTGTCCAATCAAAAACCTAACGCCAGCGATTTATCAAAAATGTAATATGTCAAATCGGAAGTATTCATAGCACAAGTATGCCCTAACGGACACAGCCGGGTGATAACGTGACGAACCAAATAGTTCTTTGACAAAAGCAGCGATATTATTCCAGCCTCTTCAGGAAATGTTACCCAGGATCCATAGAAACACGCATCCTCCCAGTAGCAAGCGAAGAGCCCCCTAAGAAATATATCGTCCGGCCATGTTTTGCTTCACTGGCGATTCAGCGCACCTACAAACGTATCAGAGACATTGCTGTCTTGTCGTCCATAAGCGAGTGTCAATCAACTCGCAATGGATGGACACTTGAGCTGACGATAAGACGGGGAAGCTCCCGTGTAAAGCCCCCGTGTATAGCTCCATTCTCATCGTCAATCATCACTTATGAAACGCCAATATAGGTTGCTGAGCCCTCCAGTAAGCTTATCACTAAGGCCTTCCAGCAAAGCCAGCAATCGCATCGGTTGCTGCGTGCGACAAAACCATTTCATAGGGCAAAGCCCCACATTATATACCTTAGGTGAAACCCCGAAGACAAAACAAACAGTTGAGCTAAGGCATGCGTTCCTTTCCAATCACGATGGAATTCATGCTTCAGCCGAGTTCATAAGGCTCAGTTTTAGACAAATAGTAAAATACGGCACCCAAGGGTGCCATAAACACAGCCTTTGCGAACGGGATGCACATTCACGAAAACTCACTGCCTGTTTTTTTAAGAAAACCTGGATGTTTTAATTGCATTGTTCAAACAAAATACCCAGTGGCAAAACAGAAGTTCATTAGGAGTACATACGCAAATACGGAAGCGGACTGACGCGAACAAAGCAGCGAAAAGATTAAATAAATATGTAACAAAAAAGGCACGGCATATGCCGGTAGCCTTGATACGACGCTATTCACATGCTCAAGGCACCGGCCTCCTCGAACATCCTGGTTGGATTCATATATCCCAATATGTACAACAGGATTCGTCCGCTTTCCAGTTTTCTAGGCGTATTTCAACCGCTTCCATTCCCCGGACTACAGTGAGCACACGTCCCATCCCCTTAACATACATCAACGATGAGGGATGGGGACTCCCCATCCACCAGCGTTGATGGGTGTCAGCCGTTTCCCTCCCCTTCCCTCACCTTTGGCGGGTGCTAGCAGGTCTGCACACAGCTCCCTCCCCCGTCCCTCACCTTTGGTGGGTGTTGAGCGCGGTCTCCAGCAGTCGGCTGATATCGGCCGGCGCGGTGGACGGTGCCGGCGGCGGCGGCGCCTTCTGGCGCTGCTGTAGCTGCTGCACCTGCGCCCGCAGCTGCTGCACCTCCGTGCTCAGCTCTCGGACCAGGCCGAGCACGGACGTGACGGCGCCCAGCACGGCGCCCGAGCCGACGGCGGCCTTCTCGTCACCACCGCCCAGCGGCACGCTGCTGCCGAGCAGGGGAGAAGTTAGGAGACTCAGCCAGTGGAGTGTGTGGTACTATGGTGCGTCAATGAACGAAGAAGCCGGCAGGTAATGTCGTATGTAACGTCAATAGTCGAAAGAACGGTATACTCGTAAATGGGAAAACAAATGTGTGAGCGTGAAGGCGATGCAACATAAATACAGCTCTTGTCAATGATTTTGAACCACAGTAGCCGAATATTTTTGGGAAGAAGTGATATATCAAGAAGCAAGCTCGCTGAACATTCAACAAAAAAAAAAAAAAAACGAGCGGCAAATAAAGCCCCATTAATTGCGAACGCTTAAGCTAATGCAGATAAACACCCGTTTTCACACAGTGCGTTCATAGCGTAAAACTCACCCGACGGCTGCAGGAGCGGCGGGCACCACTCCTCCTACAACACCACCCACTCCAAGGACTGCCGCAGCGGCGGCAGGAACAGCAGCAGGGGCGGCGGCAGGGACTGCAGAGACCGCGGCGGCGGGGGCGGGGGCGGGCGGCGCGGCGGGCGCGGCCGCCGGCGCCGCGGGCACGGCAGGGATGGTCGGCCAGCCGTTCTGGCTGCTGGAGCTGAGTGAGGACGGGCCGGAGACGGCCGGGGAGGAGACGGCGGCCGGCGGTACAGCGGCAGCGGGGGCGGCGGCGGCGGCTGTGGAGAGAGGAGGCGCACCACCGCCGCTCGGTGCCTTGGCAGCGCCCGGCGGCGGCGGCAGCGGCGGAGACGGGAACAGCGACTTAAGCGGCGTGGTCTTCGCCTCTGTCGTCGTCTCTGAAAAGGAATAGGTATTTGGTTAATTGTCAAACAAATGGTTACAGCCAATACCTAAATGCAACACTAGCGTGCGGCAAAAAGACATCAATGCATCAAAATAACAATTTAGGGAACATACTCGTATGAGGTTCCGTTTAAACACTGCAGAATACGTGCTAAATATTGAGCCGGCCCAGTTGCCAGAAGCAATAAATAATTATCATATTTTTAATAAACCATTGACCCCCTCAAACGCAAGCTGTACCAAACACGCGTGCCTCCCATCATTCCTTACCGGAGCTCTTATTGAGTATCTCCTGAACTTCAATAGATGGCGAGCTACCACAGCTGTTGGGGTCTTTCTTGCTGGGCGGCTCAGGCTTCCGCTCCAGCGGTGACGCGGCCTGGGAGGGACACCGCACACGTCACACCCCTCCCCGCGATACAGTAAGGAAAGAGCGCCGACCGACGGGAAAACAGCCCGCAAATGAGGGTGGCTTGTGGCGCAACACAAGGGAAATTGTGTGAAAAGTTTTGCAGTAAACCCGCATTAGTCGATGCAAAACAAGATGTCGAGAATAACCGAGCACAAAATGAAACCTCAACTCAATTAAAGAAATAAACAACTGAGCGCTGGGATATACGCAGCTCGGTAAGTCAGCATGATCAACCACAGAAAAAGTATAAAAGAAAAAGTAGCCGGTCACCAAGTTTGGATCGGAGACTGGGTCCCTGGGGACAGCACCATCATATCAAAGCCACCACAGCATTTGCAAGAACTGAAACTATGCATGTTTACAATTCACAATTTGACAGACGTCAACCCGCTCAATTTACCCAGCCGAAGGTTGGCCCACCAGGTGAAAGCGTCCTCACCTGGAATTTGGGCGTGCCCGGCTCTGAGTCTCCGACTGCGGCGTCACCGGCGGCTGGTGACCCTGTCAGCTCCATTGAGGCACGTGCCGTCTGAGCGGTCCTGGCGGCCGGGCCCGGAGGCGACACGACGTCCGGAATCTGGAATAGCGCACACGAACACGTTCAGACAATCAAATGACGATCATGGAAGCTCAAGTTAATTAGTTAATTGGGGTTTGAGGGCACGTCGACTACGGGGTCATTTGCGTCCAGCAAAGTCAAGGTTCATGTTCACTATGATTTAGATTAAGCTCAGAGTGTTTGATGTTACAGTTCAGGAAGCAGGGGTAACTATAGCAGGCTGGGGTGACCTGTAAATCCATCATTTAAATGAAGTAAATGCGACTTAACATTGGTTAGTTGGTCCCACAATTAGAGCAGTTTCATTTCCTCTGAAGCCTTCGAGCTATAACCCAGGTGAACAGGTACGACGCCCACAAAATGAGCCGCGATTATATAACTAGCCTAGGTGCCAATCCCACCATCAAATATTCTACTTCGCAGAATCCCATCTCACGGGAAACGAGCAAACTCCATCAAAGTTCAGTCTAGCTGCGGGCGCCATTAGTTGGGCGACACGGGCCACGTTCGCCGTCAGATTACGCACCCGAGAGGGCGAGGTGAACTCCTCGGGAGTCATTAGGCTGATGACTCCTGAGGCGGCGGGCTGCGGCGGGGTCGGCGGCGGCGGCGGCTGCTCAGGGGTCGTGCCCACCTCGACCACACTGTCGGCAGCTGACGCTGACGCGGTGGTGTTGAGGGTGAGGTCCGACAGGTTATCCGTCAGGTCCACTGGGGGAGAGAGAATGGTTCAGTCAGACACAATGCGGGGAGAAGGGGTCAGTCCGATAAGATAGACTGTGGAAAGGAGGGAGCAGGGGGGAGGTCAGTCGTATACACTGTGGGGAGACAACGGGGTCAGTCAGGTCAGTCCGCTAGGAGGTGACCTGCATAGAGACGTTGCAAAAACAATGTTTGAGCTTTGAACCACCTTAACCATAACCCTGTGTTATTCTGGCTGTGAACAAAGGAAACAAAGCTTGATGAAAACGTGATCAAGCCATAAATTGCAGTTTTTATTAGCAATCTGGCGAGAGAAAACACTCCATGGAGAGCACTCCCACCGTAGGTAAACACTTTAAATCAGACGGAAAATTAACCCGCGCCCAGATGGGGTCTGCCGAGCAACGCGGTCTGATGGGGGGGGCCATTTTGGCCCCCCCCCCTCAGATCTCGAGAACCACGCAACATAGCGACAAGCGGTAAACGGTGTTGGATAGCCCCAGCGGGGAACTACCTTGTGACCCAATTTCATTGACCTCGGTCAAACCGATGACGTCACAGGTCAGGTCAAAGGTCGAATTTTCATCGTTTACAGGCATTTCAAGAAATGCGTTGTAAAATCGAGTAAAATGCATTTCATTGAAAATCATCGATGGAGAAATGTTCTTCAAACACATATTTTGCTATTTGAGGTCACTGATACCAGGTCAGGTCACAGAGGTCAGGTCACTGGGGGGTCACAATATGAAAGTGTCGTGTGATACATGTTTTATGGTCCATTTTACATGACAAATGCGATTATGTGGGTCCGACAGACTTTAGGGCCAGCTTAGGTCACGTTTTGGTCAAGGTCAGGTCAAGGTCAGGTCAAGGTCAGGTCAAATTAGGTCAAATTTCAAAGTTGATATTTTTGCACAAAATGGGTATCGATTCGATGCAGCTCGTCACGGGGAGTTCAATGGTGGTCTCCGTTTTGCGCTACGAGGTCTAGAACTGCTAAAAATTGAGTTCAAAAATTTGACGTCATCAATTTTTAACAGTTTTTTCCCTATAACTTGGCCAAACAAAGAGGTATCGATCTAAAATTTGGTATGTATATCGAAGAGCGCAGGGACTATCACATATATTCCGGTTTTTTCGAAATTCGAAAAAAAAATTTTTGGAAATTTTTTGAGTTTTTCTAAAAAAATCAATTTTTTTGATTTTTGGGGGTCAAAATCCCAAAATTTCGAAAATCCGAGATAGCAGTTTTGTAGCGCCGTCTTTTCTCTACACAACCACATAAAGAACTTTAAAATTGCTTGTTAACTGTAGAATTGGTGAGCGTTTCAAGATGTCATGTTTTTTGCTCATTTTTGCTCGAACATGACCTCAGTTTGACCTCAATAACTCCTGACCTGAGGTGACCTGTGACTTGAAATTTTGTGTGAAGGTGTCAAATTGATGCCCGGTAAGGTACCCAAAATTTGGCGGCGCTGCGCGCCGCCGTTTTCTCGCTATTTAAGAAAAACCACAGGGGGGGGCCAAAATGGCCCCCCCCCATCAGGGCGCGGGTTAACGAAGAGCGAAGTGCACAACCCAGCAGCTGCTGTAGTAGACAAACGGCTACTAGCAAAAAAAGTAAAAAACCAGTGATATTAAATAGTTTCAGTTGTTTAAACAAATAGCTATTATATTTTAGTGCATTTTCAAACATTTATAGCCAGAGAACCTCTCTTCCCATATTGCTCTCTTTCTTACTTCATGAACCTCCTGCTTTCATTAATCTTGCTCGCTCTTTCTATCTTCCTTCCCTCTCCCACCTTCACTCACTTCCTCCACCCTCCCTCTCTCACTCTCCCCGCCACTCACCCAGGCTCTCGCCATTCTGACTACTGACGGCGTCAGGCAGCGCACCGCCCGCCCCGGCCGTGCCATGCCGCTCCCCAGTAGCGCTCTGGTACACGATGACACACTCCTGCAGGGATCGTGGCTGCACCATGTAGCACCGAATGACGACACCCTCGGGCAGCGTGTCATCCTCGGCTTCCTCGGCGCCGCCCGACAGACCGCCGCCCAGCGGGTCACCGCAACCGGCGCCAGACTCTGAGCGTTGGAGGAGCGGGGAGGCATGTCAGACGGTCAGAGGGTGAGGAGCGACATGAGGCGACATGAGGTGACACCATAGGCCTAGCAGACTGAATGTACAAGAGCAGCGATCTGTTTACATACTACTATCCTCCTTCGCAAAAAGAAATATTAAACCACGACAGAAGACAGGACAAAAAGCGCGAACGAGCAAAACCAACTTTGAACTTACCTTATCTTCTAGCCCGTGACATGCGTCACCATTTTACAGTATCGCGCTCGGCTACCTATTTCTAATAAATCCTTTGACGCCTTTTAGACTGCAGCGCCATTCCCCGCCTGCCGACCGCGGCGTCACCTAGCGTTCACCTACCGAGCTGGTCGACGTTCTCGAACGGTTTGATGCGGCGTCGGCGAGCGTCCACGATGGCCAGGGACAGGCCAGGGGTCATCAGTCGGAACTCGTGCACCGAGGTGAAGTATTTGACGGCCACCTCCGGCGGAGAGAGACTCAGCACGTACAGCATCTGAGACGAAAGGGGAGGAGTGGTCAGTCGGCTGCGGTGAGTGAGTGGGTGGAGAAATGGGTGGGGACTAAAGGGCTGCACGAATTCGACAGCTATTACGGCAGGCCGATTTAGATACAACATTTTTGGACACAAGTAACACAAATCCCCCTTGAAATATACTCGCTTGCCAGCACACATCGCTGGAACAGCTAGATGATAGTAGGAGTGTTATATGCTCTAGCCAATTACTACATATATCTACGATATCACTCACCCTCCCGTGTATGTCACTCAGCAGCAGGTACTGGGCCGACGGCAGTACTCGGTAGGTACTCACTCTCCTGTGTATGTCACTCAGCAGCAGGTCCCGTGCTCTGCCAGTATTCGGTACTCACCCTCCGGTGTATATCGCTGAGCAGCAGGTACTGAGCTCTGACCCACCTCTATCTTACAGTACTCAGTACTAACCCTCCTGTGTATGTCGCTCAGCAGCAGGTACTGGGCCGACGGCAGTACTCGGTACTCACCCTCCGGTGTATATCGCTGAGCAGCAGGTACTGGGCCGACGGCAGTACTCGGTACTCACCCTCCTGTGTATATCGCTGAGCAGCAGGTACTGGGCCGACGGCAGTACTCAGTACTCACCCTCCTGTGTATATCGCTGAGCAGCAGGTACTGGGCCGACGGCAGTACTCAGTACTCACCCTCCTGTGTATATCGCTGAGCAGCAGGTACTGGGCCGACGGCAGTACTCAGTACTCACCCTCCGGTGTATATCGCTGAGCAGCAGGTACTGGGCCGACGAGTCCAGTGCCGCCTGAAGACTGGCCGCCGGCGGCGCGGCAGACAGCTCGTCGGCCGGAGACGGCTGCAGCCGGATCGTCTGCAGGCAGTTCCAGGACTCGCACGTCCACACCTTGAGCTCGGTGTTCTGACAGGCGCCCGTCACGGCGTACTTCCAGAACGGCTCACTGTCGGTGGTAAGGAGGACGGGAGGGTAACGTGGCTCAGTTTTTGAGCAGTCAGGAGCATTAGATAGCAGCAGTAAGCTGTTCGCAACTAGCCATTAGTTTATAACCAGATGACAAGAGGTTCACACTTCACACTAGTAAATGGTTATCTGGGTCGAAGCCACGTTTCAAAAGCGAAGGAAAACGTGAAGATAAATAACCTTATTCATAAGACGGTCTTGTCTCAAAGTGATGCCTGTACAGAGAACTCTCACGCCGCTAGCACCGTGAAGTGTGAATGCACTATCACACACTACACCAAATACCGTGGACCCAAAAACACTTGCAACCCCCCCCCCCGTCCATTATCAGCTGACCATCCTTCTCACCCGGGGTCCTGGTCGCGGTGGTTGTCCAGGAAGAACAGTGAGGAGAGCGGCTGGCCGTCGTGCGGCTGCCACTCGTGCAGCATCCGCGGACTGTCCTTGTCCTGCATGTAGATCTGTCGGAGCGGCGAAGGGGGTGGGTTAGTGCTGATAGACAAGCGGCGTTCGCTCCACACTGGCGTGACGGGGTAGGTAATGTGACGCAGTATCAGGTCGCATTATTTGCACCATAGCCGTGCAATTGAGAAATCGATATGCTGAAGTAGAACAACTGCAAAAAGTGATACTGAATCAAGTGTAATTTCAAACTATCGAATGGTATAAACAATCTTTTGAGTTTTGGCATTCAAGGCAACGATTCAATTCACAATAAAAAAAAATGTTTTCTTCAGCAAACACGAAGCTGGAACACAAAATAACACCGAAAAAAACTGCAAATAGGCACACTCACATCAGAGTAAAAACCAAACCCAACTTAAAAAAAAACCTAGCCAACCACCGCCTCCAAACCTCCATCCTCCCGTCCCTCCCCTTACGCACCTGATAGAACTTGACGTATCCATCCACGGACGCGGTGGCCAGTGCGGTGCCGTCCGGTGAGAAGGCGGCGTCGGTCACCGCCTGTCCGTGGTCGAGAATCTCCATGAAGCCCTCGCTGACGTCGCCGACCAGCAGCGGACCCGGCCCGTGCTCCTCCACCATGATGGCCACGTTCAGCAGGTGCGCCTGAAATAGCGGGGTGGGTGGTGGCAGTGAGAGTGATGACTTGGTGATGGTGTTAGTGACTTGACGAGTGCGACACTGAGTGATGCTTTTTTTTTTACTTAACTCGAATGTTTCAATGGCCGGATTGCGGAGCCGGATCCCACGCCAAGGAAAGCTTGTTGCGCAGGTCCTGACCCCTACCGTCCGTTCGCGCCATTCCAATAAAAATATCCTATTTTACACAAATAGGAAATCTTACGACTACAACCAACAGTAATTGATCACTTTCATACATCCCTCTAGCCAAAAATGACGCAAACACTTCATTCATGCATGACGCTCCTAGATTCCAAAGCAAAACAGGCTTGGGCGGGTGCATGATAAACCAATGCCAAGTCATTTCGTCACCCAAACACACCTACCATCTTTCCTTCCATTCACCCCTCCCGTTCCGCCCACTCACCCTGTTGCCGTGTGTGACCAGCAGCAGTTTGGCCGTCTCCTCGGTCTCCTGATCGTCACAGTCATCATCAGGGATGTACGGGCACCAGACCACCCGGTGAATGGTGCTCGGCGGTGGCGGAGTCTCGTGAACCAGGCGCAGGCCGAGGTACGGCGAGACGACCAGCTTCTTGTTGAGGTCCTCGTCGATCTTGAAGACAGATAGGTTGCCCATCTGAAGAAAAAAAAATGGAGGGCAGGTTAGAGACATTCAAAGGGGTGGCACACACAGGAAAGCGAATAGCCTGAATCAGCAAATGCAGCCCCGCAAACAGAGCCCGACCATCGCAAACACCACGACTAAGCGATGATGTAATGTACAAACCACAAACGATCCGGTGAATTATTTAGCACGACGGAGTGAAAATTAAATCAGTCGCAGGTATGCGGGCATACGAGCTTCATCCGTTGTCGAATTTAAAAAATGTGGTGACTTATTAGCAGAAGCACATGGCGTTCCAGATAACACACAATTCCAATGTTTCATAAGTCGATATGCATCGTGAACTACCAACTCCTGAATACCAATGTTGCAATCGTTTTACTCCACTTTCCTTCGATGTTAACAGAGAACTACCACACAGTTTTGCCAAAGATCACCGTCGCAATTCCTTCTCTCCCACACCCCACCAATCCACCGAGAACCTACCTCGTCCACCACTGCCAGCAGCGTTTCGTTGTTGGTGTGCGCGAACGCCAGGTCTTTGACGGCTCCGGTCATGCCTTTGATGAGCGCTCGGTCGTCTGTTCCGCGACTCACCACCCGCACCACACCGCCCGACTTGGCTGAGGGGGGAGCGTGGAGGGGGGGGGGGGGGGTGTTTACTGTTTAGTCAGGCGGCGGGCGGTGGAGCTTAGAGTGTGACGTCATATGTCCGCTTTGGTATTCATGAGGTAAAAGCTCACAGCTGGCGGGTGGGGCACTTCAGGTAAAGGAAGCCTTTAGGTCTGATAACATTTATTTCCGTTTACTCTGTCATGTTTATTTTAGCGAGTTTATGTAATCAATTGGAATAAATATCAAAGAAATATGTATGATTATTGATCATAGGTTGTACTTTGCATTTACAAACACCTCTTATGCTTGAAACAGTAAAAGATCTAGCAAAAGCGACGGAGGGAGCGAGACTGAAAATAGACATCAGCTTGTTTACTCAAACACTCAGACACTCACCCTCTTTCCGTATTTGTATTTGACAATAGCAGACACTCTACAGCAACGCGTAGCTTTTACGTGTCCTTAGTCAGAGATGAATAAAAGAGCAAGGCAATGATGTCGCATAAACACACACACAATGACACACACGCACACACAGTACACACAGTCACGCATACAAGTCATCGCCGAGTAAAAATACGTTTCACAGCTCGTTTAAATGCCGCGGGGTCTAGATTTCTCGCGTCTCCCGGCATGGAGTTGAGGAGACTAGCAGCGCGGTACTGAAAACAGCGCTGCCCCGTCGCTGTGCGCACGGCTGAGAGGCGCAAACAGTTGTCCTGTCTAGTCGAACGCTCATCATTCCTAGTGTCAGCATGGGTATGTAAAAGCATGGCAAGCTCGGCGGGTTCTTGATATAAAATGGCTTTGTGAGCAGCAATCGCTGTCTGCATATCACACATTTGCCGAGGCGTGTGCAGGTGCAGGTCATCCCGCGCGCGAGACACATGGTCGAACTTCTTTAGCCCCGTTACCACTCTCGCGGCAAAATTGACTACTTTAAGCAGTCTAGTATCGTTTTTAGACGAGCCGTTGCCATACACCGAGATACAATATCTCACGCGCGAGATGACCAGCCCCTGCACAATGGTTAACATCACATGCCGCGGGAGGAAGTGTCTCAGGTGGCGGAGACCTATCAGGAGGCCGACGCACTTTTGAACCACGTCACTGACGTGAACGTCCCAGCTGAGGTGACGGTCAAACGTCACACCGAGGTTTTTAACGCTAGGGCTCTCCTGAATGGTCTCGCCACCGACCCGTACGCTGACAGGTGGTAGGTTACGGGTGTTCTGGCGGGTGCCAAGGAGAAGGATTTCCGTTTTTGGATTCGTTGAGCTTAAGGCCGTGGGCATGGAACCACGATGCTAAAGAAGACAGGGTGGACTCCATGCGCAGGATGAGATCAGGAAGGTTGCGTTTGACATCGGATAGGAGGATTTGGGTGTCGTCAGCGTACTGGGTCACATGAGCGTCCGGCGCGTGCAAGCTGAGATCATTGGAGAAGATTGTGAACAACAAAGGACCAAGGGCGGATCCCTGGAAGACTCCCATGGTGTTGGGAAGAGGCTTGGAAACTACTCTGTCACCGGTAGAGGAAGAGATGCAGACAGACTGAGTATGACCACTGAGATAAGATGAAAACCATGAAGGATCGATACCATAAAGCTGAAGTTTGGTTAGGAGTTGGTCGTGAGGGATAACATCGAAACATTTACTGAGGTCGAGGAGGCACAACAGTGAGACATGACCGTGGTCCATGTTCGAAAGGATACGGTTCGTGACGGAAAGGAGTGCGGTTTCAGTGGAATGGTGGCGGCGGAAACCATGCTGGGACGGGGAGAGGAGATGGTTATCGGACATGAAGGCAAACAGCTGCCGCTGTACCAGCCGTTCAACTGTTTTTGCCATGATGGGAACAATGGATATAGGACGGTAGTTTGAGACAAGGGTAGGATCACCGGATTTGTAGATAGGATGAACCAGGGAGTGCTTCCAGGAATCGGGAAAGTCACAGGAGGTAAGGCAGGTATTGACAATATGGAGTAGGATGGGACCTATGGCATCAAAACAAAGGAGAAGGATGCGAATACATATACCATCAGGCCCGCACGCACCAGAACGCTTCATGGAGAACACTTTCCCTCACTCACACACTCACTCCTCTCACTTTCTCCCTCATTCGCCCCTTCCTCGTACCTTTGATGGCGTAGGCCAGGTACTCCCCGCGACTGGCGGCAATGTGTCCGTCGTAGTACTTATGGTCCCAGGCGTAATCGACTATCGTCTTCATCTTGACGTGCGAGGAGCCCGTGGCGTGCGCACTGTCCGACGGCAGCACGACCACAGAGTCGTGCGTGATGCTGGACGACTCGCAGTCCTCGAACGTGCTGCAGGAGGTGATGGCGATGGTAATGACGGTGGTGGACTTTTGAACATGCTTGTGCCATGATTCTCAAGTTCGTTGCAGGAGATATTGTTCAGGGTGGACCCACCAGTTGATACTGATGGCCATTGTTATGGCCATTGGAGACAATTTGAAGGAGAAGCGTGTTAAGAGTGTTTAGACTGGGGTGGGGGATCAGCAGGCCCAGCATGAGTTCAGCTGTTTGAAGCTATATATCGACAGTTCCGAGCAAGAACATCCTTAGTGTCAAATTTGACACAGCTGTCAATGAGCCTTTCAAAATGGATACTTACATGAGCTGTTGTCCAGACTTCAAGGAGTCCATGGCAACAGCACTGTTACCACTCATCTTCTCTCAATTCAGATGCTTGGAACTAGTAATCTGAAACCAAACAATGCACAACTCAGAGAATGACTACAGCCCAAAGCAATCCATCTGTCAAGTGGCACTTGCTGCATTTAAGCATGGTAAACTTTCAGTTCAAATGTCAATCAATTGGAGCACTCTGGCTCGCTCATTGCTGTGAGCTGGCCTGAAGGGTATCAGTATCAGTATTGATAAAGTAAAGCTGAGGGTTGGAGAGGGGCTGAGGGCTGTTCACACTTTACAGGCACTGAAACTGCTGAGTGCGGTGTGTGGTGTGTGCAGCAAGTATGGGGAAGAGGCTATTGGGTAGTCTGAGTCAGTATGACGTCACATGGCCGCATGCGGTAGACTGCACACAGCCATCATTGTGGCCAGTCCCAACCAACCACAGCGGTCACTGTTTGCGGTGACCGAAGGCTGATGTAGGGACACAGTTGGCGGAGCTTGGAGCCTGTACAATCCTACCACACAAAGGGTCCGTGAACAGCCTTCTGGTATCACCATCAGTGTGTATTTTACAGTAGGCGAGAAACTGCAAGGTAGGTAGCTGTTTGAGTGCCATTATCAGTAGACTGCAAGCTTCATGGCATTTTAAGCCTCTCTATGATCACATTTATGTGGCTTGGACTGCATCTTCAAATACCTATACCAATACACCTCAAACCTGACCACCAACCTACCACCCTACCGCCGTACAACAACCTACCAGCCAACCAGCCTACACCCTAACAGCCTAGAACATACAACCTAACCTTGCAGTTTCTTGCCTACTGTAAAATACACGCTGATGGTGATACCAGAAGGCTGTTCACGGACCCTTTGTGTGGTAGGATTGTACAGGCTCCAAGCTCCGCCAACTGTGTCCCTACATCAGCCTTCGGTCACCGCAAACAGTGACCGCTGTGGTTGGTTGGGACTGGCCACAATGATGGCTGTGTGCAGTCTACTGCATGCAGCCATGTGACGTCATACTGACTCAGACTACCCAATAGCCTCTTCCCCATACTTGCTGCACACACCACACACCGCACTCAGCAGTTTACAGTGCCCGTAAAGTGTGAACAGCCCTCAGCCCCTCTCCAACCCTCAGCTTTACTTTATCAATACTGATACTGATACCCTTCAGGCCAGCTCACAGCAATGAGCGAGCCAGAGTGCTCCAATTGATTGACATTTGAACTGAAAGTTAAAGATGTTCCTAACTCATTCCATGCTTCAAACAGAAAAAAGATTACAACACATAATTATTACAATAAATTACATTCTTCCGAAAGGCGCCATGTAGATATTAATCAATTTATAGTTTATACATAACCTCTCTGAGCTGTAGTAGTTCATGATCTCCCTTGACAATAATTTTAAAAGCCAAAAAACCTAGGGAAGATATTTCTTGTAAAAAATATTTATTTCCACCAAAATTTCACGAAAAATAGATAAAGTAACTGAAAAATGAGCAACGAGAGCTCCAAAGAGATAGAACAAAGTGTCATTTTTGTACACATTACATAACAAAAATATTTTGGAAAAATATCTATGGTATGTACTTCGAATAGAAAATATGCAAAATATGCAATGTGACCGTGTGCAACGAATAAAATACCACAAATTTTGTCCCATCCTACCGCCCAAACGCCGGCGAAAACGGAACTAAATGCAATCGAGTACAAACATGCCGCAGACAACTCAGTGAAGGCCGCATGCTCGAGGTCAAGGTGGGTACTAAAATGCTGCAAAATTCTGACGTAGGGTATTTTACAGAATGTAGTAGAAACTGATGTATCACCGCATTAACTTTTTCTCCGCATTTGTGGAGTCTCTCTTGCTACTAATTAATAATGCTGGATTTGTATTTAGGGCCTTGGCTGGATTAGCTTTTCTGATATATCCCATTTAGGTCTTTTAAGCCTGCATACCATGCCTCTTTCGGAAAAAGAGCGTAGATATATGAACAATTCCCCAAAGCATGCTGATACTGCTTTCACTCGGTCCAGGTTCAGAGAGATAGGTTTCTTTTAATAAAGCACGAGGCGTTTCGTTAATAAGGCACTATATAGCGCGTGCCGCCTAGTCACGCGTGTAGGTATCGCTGAATGGAAAAGTTGAAAAGAATAAGAAGGGTTTCAATGCCAATGGCCAGAGAACATTCCTCCTTTCGAACTGACGCATAACCGATGTGTCTTCCGTCCTGTTTCCAGAACCCTTCCACACCGCTTGAACATTATCATATACCCCCAACCATCGCCGAGAGAGATCTCTGACAAAACACTACATCGATAATATAATTTATTACCATAATTGAAAGTAACATCATCTAAATAAAGCCGTCAGTGCACGCGGTCGGTCACAGAGACAGCCCCTGACTGCCGACCCGGCGCTGGCGGCCCGGCCGGCCCTCCCTCCGCCCACATATCACACTCGCGTGCCTTAAAGCAGAAACCTTTACAGCGCCGGTGTGTGTCAGGTCGCCTACGTGCACCTAAGCCCCGGAAACAGCCGCGCCGTGTGCGGCCGGCCTCCATCACACCCTCACTCTCACCCCGCGCGATTCACTCGCACACTCCCCGAGACATACAAACCCAAAACAGGAGCGGTCGGCGCCGCAGCAACACAGGAGGAGCGGACGGCCGGCGCCCGGGGTCCGGCGCGCCGGCAAATAAATAAAAGCACCGCCAGCCGTCTGTGTGCCGTCCGTGTCCGGCCGCCTCTGCGCACCGGGAGACCGGTGACGAGAAGAGGCGCTGCGCCGCCGTCTCTGCGCGGGCTTCACCGCCGTCCGCTGTCGGCTGACAGACCCAGCCGACGACAGACTATTTCTTCGGTCGAGTTTCGCGTGGCCCGTAAAACCCACGCCCAGCATCCACCCAACAAAGGCACAACCATAAATTAAACATGCACCAATTAATTGACTACTACTTAAAATAGGTCGTACATACAACGCAACAGAGTAGACCTGCGTTCGATCAGCGGTGGCGCGGCGCCGGCGGCCGCTTCCCCGTCCGAGCGGGTCGCCACGGGGACGCAGCGCGCGGCGCCGGCACTAAAAAGATCAGATGAAAACGGGCCACTGATGTGCACCCACTGTGTGGCCCACGCCCAAACGTCGTCACCTTTCCTGTCATCACATCGGTCGGCACTCCACTCGCCGGCTGGTCACACCGCCGTGCACGTCACATAGCCCGGCCATCACGCCGCGCGCCGGCCGGCGGGGCCCGGGACTCCATACAGCAGCCGGCGGGGTCCGGACTCCCCACACCGACCAGCGGGGCCCAGGACTCCCCACACCAGCCGGCAGGGATCCAGGACTCCTCACACCGGCCGCCGGGGCCCGAACTCTCCCCCACACCGACCGTGGCGGTCAGCTGCCATCCGGCGGGAAGCGCAGTGCACTGTTCGTCACGGGACCGGCGGAGACGCCAAGCGAAGCGAGCAGCACGCGGAGCCGCGGACACCGCTGCGCCAAGACTGAAGCAGCCGAGCACATCCTCGCCCGAGCACACAGCTTAGTCGTCTGTGGGGAGAGACAGATGGAGGGGTCAGCACACAACGCACTAGGCGCCCCAGAAAGAACAATGAATTACCCAATCAAGTATGCTTTTTCCGCCGTCCCAGGCAAGCAGACTCAAACTAAGCACAAACGCACAAGGAACGATCGCATAAATCGAAAAGCAAACACAACAAAACCTATGACTGAATATGATTATCGAGCCTTACATGGAACTATTCCAGTAACTGTGAGCCGGAGCTCTACCGTCCCAGCAATTTTTCTCCCTGTTCCATTTCTCTACCCTTACTGACCGCGGTTGTTGGCCGCCTTCTTCTGCCGGGCCTTCACGGCGGCGATGTCGGCGTCGGCGGCCGACGCGGGCCGGCTGCTGAACCCGCCCTGCGGCTGGCCGGGCCGGATCACCGGAGCCGGGTGCGGCTGGCCGGCGCGGATCGGCTTGGCGATCTGGGCGGCGTGGCCGCGACGCGCCAGGTTCTTCTGGCGCACCGCCTCCTTGATCCGGTCCACCTCGTACTGGTAGCGCTTGCGGTCGCGCATGGCGCCCTCCTTGGCCTCCTTCAGCGCCGTCTCCAGCGCCTAAACGCCGAAAAAAGAAGGGTAAGGTCACTTCAGCAAATCGTTTTGTGTGAGAATATTGCTATAAATTCAGAGTGAAAGAGTATTTCATTCACTTGAAGGCACCGGACAGCTGCACAGTGCAAGCGCATCATTCAAAAGGCTCCATAAAAATCCTTCATAGTGACATATTCTCACAAGAGGATCTATGCCATCGAACTGACCTTGACCCGCTCCATGGTGGCTCGGAGCCGCTTCTCCAGCTTGGGCAGCTCGCAGCGCAGGTCGGCGTTGTCGCGCACCAGCTGCTTGTGCACCTTGGTCAGCTGGTCGAGGTTATTCTCCAGGAAGGAGATCTTCTGCTTCTGGGCCAGCGAGCCACCCACGTCGTCCGTCTCCTCACCCAGAGCCGACTGGCGGTCCAAGAGAAAGGGAAGTTAGAGGTGAGCGGTGGAGAAAGCAAATGACTGATAGAGCAGACGGTTGAAGCGTGGATCAGCATGATCTATCGATTTGAAGAGATGAGAACGTAAAAGTTGGCGAAGTAAGTGAATGGAACGCAATCAAATTCAGATAAAGGTGAAGTGGCGATGACGTGATATACGCTGCTTCAACTTCTACAAAATTCAAAGCAAAATACTAGAAACTGGAAGAGTCAGCACAAATTTTGTGCGGATGGTAAATTTTGTAAGGATGAGTTTTAAACTCATCCTTAAAAATAATTGCTTTCAACAGTCTCTCCTCACACCCACCTTCTTGAATCGGTTCTGCAGGTCCTGGACGAACAGTTTGCGCAGGTTGTGCAGCGTCTGCAGCTCTTTGGCCACCGTCTCCTCCAGTCCCTTGAGGTCCTCGCGCGCCTGCTCGCGCCGGTCAGCCTGCTGCAGCAGCTGGTGGAGGCGCTGCGACTTGTCCTCGTTGTCCGCGCGCAGTTTGTCGTGCTCCGCTCGCAGCTGGTCCTGCTGTAGTGCCATCTTCTGGTTCAGACTGGAATAGAGTAGGGCAGCGACGAAGTTAGAGCGATGCAGAAGGTGAAGCGATCAAAGACCGGGAGAAGGTGCAACGACGGAATAAATTAAGAAGTTGAGCTTCCTGTACTAGATTGTTCGCCACTTAGTTCCTACGTGAAGGTAAAACATTTGTCAAAAACCGCCTTGATGTTCATTAAAGTGCAAGATTGTTGTCCACTTTAGAGCATCCATTATCTCACCCCGATCATCTCCCTCCTTCCCCTCTGTCCCTGCATGCGCTAGTCACTCACTCCTTGAGCTGGTCGATGAAGGTCTGTTTGGCGGCGATCTCGTCGCGCAGGTCCGACACCTGCTTCTGGTGCGTCTCGCGGTGATGTTCGATCTGCTCCTCCAGGTGCGCGCGGATCTGACGCGCGTCCTCGGCATCCTTCTGCGCCGCCGACGACAGCGAGGCCATTTGTTCTGAGGGTAGAGCAGAGTTTCGTCAGTCAATGGGTGTCTCACCTGTCACATAAAGTGAATGAGTCATTGATAAGCCAAGTGAAAAGTATCGAGCTAAAGCTGACGCTCACGTTTTAAGCACGAATAAAGTACAATGACATGTCTGAATAATTTCAGCCGCTCATACTCATCCAGTCTGGTGTACTGAACAGTATTGATTACGGCCTATGATAGGTTTGACGCGTCGGCTATACCAAAGTGTCCACCAAACCATCGTATTTCTGCCCCGCCGGTGTCCAGTAACCCACGCAGCTACCCCCAGCCCGGCGGTGTTTCGTACCTGCCGCACGCAGGCTGGCCACCTCCTCGTTAATCGCATCCAGCGACTCCTCCAGCTGACGTTTCTTGGCCTCCGAGTCGCGCACAGACTCCTGCAGCGACTTAATTTTCGCCTCGTGGGTCTGAATGAGCAGTCGGCTCTCGCTCAGTTCCCGCTCAGCCTCCTCCATCTGTCGGCGAAACAGGAAACTTTAGTTTGAAGAGCGGGCGAGAGGTGGCAGTAGCGGACTGGGTGTGGCCAAATCGACGGCGGAAATGGGACCGGTCGGGGACATTACGGGACGTGAAAGTTCGCTGGCATGCACGGTTCGGATTTAGGTGGTTTGAACCAATGCCGCTATATTTCGTGACCGTGAGTCATGCGGGCTGACGTCAGGCTAGGGTTTCCGACGGACGGTTACTGCAGATATACGGTGAAGGTCAACGCAAGGTCAGACGACGCGAATTGATCGACCGACAGTGAATTGTTCGTTCGCCAAAACAGGTCGTAACAATAGGGGTAAACATTTTAATGTCTCATGTAGTCGGTTTTATGTCTTCTAACGATCGGTTAACATTTCTGATTGCACATTTTACACAAAAAGGTTCAATCAACCACATGCGCCAAGCAGCACTACGCTAAAAATTATGCAGCAAGACAGAATTATACTAGTGAAAAAGTGGAAAAATTACCATCACTAATACGAAAAAATTTTATGAGACATCAAGAAGGCAGTCATGCTTCGTTATACTTTCCATATTCCACAAAAACTGTGTTCTGTCTTCCACTTTAACAACCTACATAGCGCAATGTTAGCAAGTGCGTACCTTTTTGTTGGAGTCGTTCTGTGAGGTCTCGAACGTGTGACAGCGAGTGACCAGGTTTTTGATCTCGGACTTCATTTTGGAGATGTAGAGTCGCGCCACGGTGAACTCCTCCTCCATCTTACCGCTACCGTCCGCCGCCAGCTGACCGGTCAGAGGTCACAGGTCAGGTCAGGGGTCAGGTCGGGTCAGAAGCAAGGCCATACGTCGGGTTACAGGTCATAACAAGACACAGACGTTCAACTTTGACGATATAAAAATTTTTAACCAGACAAACCAGCATGAACTGGTGGGTGATAAACATTACAAAACTGAGACAACGAGCTTAAAATGTACACGCTGAATATGACTCGGGAAAGTTATGAGTCACAAGTGAAAACGTAGCCCCAACCCACACGTCATTTTCCTTCATGTGCAAAGCCCAAGAAGTGTGTTGACAAAGCTGCGTCTCCAGACATAGCTCACTTTTTACCTCCTTGCTTGTGCCAATCCCAGTATATTAGCTACTTTCATATTTACTGACCCTGTGTGAGCTGCTTAGCTATTCATGAATGGAAATCATGATATATTGACGCAGGGCGCTGTGGCGTGACAAAATGCCACATTACCTAATTGCTCAGTGGACCGGTGCGCTTGAGCGATGTGTTGACTTCTGAGCAAGAGCACATAATGCGTGCGGACAAGTGCGGAGCACGTGTTGGGCCACGGCGCATGTTTTATTCAGCTGTGTAAACGACTAATGAGTAAAGCGTGTGTGCTACATATGTGGGGCGTGTGTGGTTGATGGCGTGCCCTTGGGATCTGCCTGTGCCAAACCTTGTTGCTACGGCTAAACGAATTATCAGTTATTCCCTACCATGCCCTAAAATGTCAAATTTGGTAAATTCTGAACATAGGCTGTCAAAAGGAATCTTGAGTAACTTAAGTTGCAAAACAGCCGGGCTTATTATCAATCGTAAGTCGTAGCCTAAGAAAATCTAACTGAACACGGTTAACGTTTACTATACAAGGAAGAGACCAGCAAAGATCCTTCGATCAGCCTTCAATAAATTTACTGAGCCTAAGCTATCTCAATCTTGGTCTCTTTTCCGAACATTTCTCGCCCACATTACACAATTCACCTCCAACCTCCCCCACCCCCACCCATCACCACACAAACCTTCATATCTGCAGCGGATCCTCCGACGGCGACTCCGACCTCGCCCAGGTCCTTCAGCAGGTTGGTGAGCATCTCGCTGGCGCGCTTCTTCAGGTGGTTGTGCGTGTCGCGCAGCTGCTGCAGCTCAGACTCGGTGGTGTTCAGCAGGGACTGTGGGGAGAAGAGGGACGAGGAGAGTCAACGAAAGTCATCGAGGAACAGGGACCAAGAGGCAGCAGAAGCCATTCAGGGGGGCGAGCCACAAGTTGTGCAGAGGCCAGTGGGTTCAAGACCTTGCAAAAAAAAGACTGAGAAAATGGAAGGTCGACAGCTAAACTAATATTTAGGTATTCTAAAAACAAACTTTTTTCACTAACAAGTCGACAGCATCATCAACAAAAAAGAAAAAAAAGAAAAAAGTCATTTGTCAATTTGGCGCAAATCAACAGTACCGCTTAAGTTGAGCAGGTGACATCCCAAGAAAGCATCTTAATCATATAGGCATTCAAACAGATACACAAAAACAATTTCTCCACCCAGACCACCCAATCCCTCCTTCGATCCCTTCTCCTCTCACTCACCTGTTTCTGTGACAGCTCCTGCGTGATGGTGTCGTTCTCCTTGCTCCTGGCCTCCAGATCCTGGCTCTTCTGGTCGTAGTTGACGGCCAGCTCCTCGAGCGCCTGCAGCACCTCCTTCACCTCATCCTTGGCCGACTCGTTCTCCTGCTGGATGCGGTTCATCTCCACCTGCACCTGCTCGTAGTCGCGCCGCGTCGAGGCGATCTGTGGGCGGAGGGAGGGGACAAAGACAGTCAGTGAAGCCAGTATACATACAATTACAGGCGCGACAAACATGTTGCGACAAGGTGGGCAACACTGACTGCACTTCACTTCGGACATGTTTCTATATTCATGCTTAAAATCGAATTTAGAGAAAATTACTAGGTTCCTCTTTATGGTTCTCAACAACAGCTCGGTCCAATATCATGCTAACGTGGACCATACAGCAATAAAGCACCAAACAAAATTGGATGCTCTCGTTAATCACAATCCGCGAAGTCGAAAATAATCTCCACAATTAATTCCTCTATCCTATCCTCTCCCCTCTCCCTGATTCCCACGCCGCGGCATCGGACCGTACCAGCTCCTCCTGTTCGAGCATCTGTTCCTTCAGCTTCTCCACCAGCTGGCTCTGCTGGTTGATCTCGTCATCCTTCTCGTCCAGCTGGCCGTACAGCTTGGCCACCTCGGTCTCCCATTTGAGACGCTCGTCGCCGGAGAGGCTGGCAGTCGAGGCCACCATCGGCAGAGCGGCGGGGGCTGCCGGAGCGCCGGTGCTGGCCGCCGCTGCGGAGACGGGGAGATACGGTCAGTCAGACAGGTCGGGGATAAGGCCCATCAGAGAGTTGCAGCCGGGTCCGTCAGAGTGGCGGAGAGACTTCTCCAGTCGGTGTGGTGAGAGCTACAGTTCGTAAAATTGGGTGGGAGGTACAGTCAGAAGGAGTGAGAAATACAGTCAGAAGGTTGACGAACGGTCGGTCAGAGGGATGTAAGATACGGTCCGCCATTAGAAGGGTGGGAGATACGACCCGTCTGAGAGAGGCACGGTGCGATGGTCGTGAACGTCTAGCAACTCAGACGGGGTTATAAATGCCGCCACTGATTGCTCGCTTAAGTTAGACAAAGACGACCGTTTAGTGTCAAACTTTTAATGAGGCGTTGAATAGGTTTTGTTCTCAAATGTGGTTGTGGACGGTGATGTTAAAAGTTTGTATCTCACAGTCCTAATGAAAGGAGACCAAACAAATTAATAGGAAGGCGGAAACAAATGCTTACAAATACACTGATCGACACACAAGCCCCGTCAATCACATTAGGAGACAAGTTCTGTGACTCGCGTACGGAGACAAGAACCGTAACTCACGTGCGGAGACGGAGACATCCATGACGTCTGCCAGGTTGACCTGTTCGTCCTTTCCGACGGTGTCTCCAGCGCGCCACTTTCTGAGCTCCTCCTCCAGCCGCTCGATCTGGCCCCGCAGCCGGCCGTTCTTGTCCCGCTCGCGCTCGTAGCGGCGCTTCCATTCCTCGGCGGTCAGCTCCTCGTTGACCGTTACCGTGTTCTTCACCGTCTTCGCTCTGGGGGACAGAGAGGTGGTCAGCGTTGAGATTAGGTGACTCGGAATGGACTCGCGAAGAAGGATGGCAGAGGTCAGCTATGTGTTAGGATGAGTGAGGCATGTTCACACAACGAACGAAATATTTGAATACAATGACACCAAATATTCTACAATATATTGCACTAGGAGCTGAGCGACTGTCATGTTGATGCTAGTTCTATCCGATGCCATGCAACATCGCCGCTAATATTTCCTTCCCTTCCGCCATTCCATAGAATATAGTGCTCGCATTTGTCGCACCCGGCTCTGCGGTCATTCCGTGTATTGTAGGACGAGATAAGTGCATTACGATGCCACCAATGCTGGCGGGAAACTCTCCGCATCAACATTTACTCATAGCATTCCCCGTGGGAAATGGCACGCCCGTGTGTACGCGGAATATACGCATACAAGTGTGATCATCAGGCGGATAAATAGAGCAGTCAATAAAGCCAATAGGGCAGTGCCAGGAGCGCCGGCCCTCCTCTACGCCTGACGCATGAAGATGCGCAGTGAATATCAATGACAAGGTATCTTACATAACGGTACATTGCCGCAACCAGGAAGGCCCTTTTGAAGCTACACGAGGTACATTTTTCACATGATGATAATATCCGCCATATGTAACATTGCCATCCATCAAACGGCGGACGTTCGCGCGTTGTCCGAAATGCGACCTTGTCGTGAAACCAGATACCATTATGCTCCATGCCATAAATTTTGCCGGGAGGCCGCAGAGATCGGAGCAAACATAACCCATCGCGGATGAATCCATCGCCGTTCCATCTCGTTTACAGCGATTCTGACACGACGGCCGGGGATCCATAACTCAGCCCGGGAGCAATTACCCCCGAAACCGTCACACCGCCAACACGTTACAACGGCGCGGAAAACTCCGCCGAAGGGCAGCAGTTTCGAGAGAAATCCATCAGTTGCAACGTTGATTAGTCAATCCGGTCTCCTAAATCGTGTCCAAACCAGCAGGCTGTTAGCGATAATATTGTTTCTGTTGCTACCCAACCCGATACCACATCAGCGCTACATTCGGCTCAATTTCCACGCAGTCGCACTGTTTCCGTTTTCCCGGAGTCTCAACACTATCTCACCACCACGACACCATCTCTCACGTCTCTGCAGTACCCAGTGACCCGAACTGGGGCGAGCCAATGCCGCAGCGCTCCCCAGTCGAACGCTAGTGTTCAGTGAGAGGCAGAGCCAAACCGCTGATGGGGGCCCGTACCATTAGATCCAACCCTGGATGTATGTATCCAACCTGGATGGATGTATCCAACCCTGGAGATGGTATTACATGGGCGCTGTGCATGCGTATGGTAACGCTCCAAAGACGACAGGTCACGGACAGACACCAAAGCAGAACAGCCCGGTGAGAACGCAAGCTGATGGGAGCGTCAAGGAAGGGCAGGAAAGAGTGAAGGAAGGAGACGTAAGCAAGGTTTTGCTGCGGACCAGAATAAGTAGGTCGTTCAGCCACAAACGAACGCCGCCGATTGGATTGGAAACTGCATTGAACTTCACAAAGAGGGGCTTTTTCCACAAAGCAATTCGCCTGTTGTGTGTCAAGCAGTGACTGATTGGCACAAAACATTCTTCCAGAATTCCTTATCGGATAAAGTCGAACGCAGTGCGCTCTACAAGCAATTTAAGGCACTCTGGGAAACATTTCTTCCACAGCAAAAGCTGTGCGAAAAGACTGATAAAAGACTTTCCCAAAAGCCGTCATTTATCACAGGATAGAACTTGGAGAAAGAAGACGATTATGCTCATTCTCATTTCAAGTTTTTTACTCGTTCTATTTGCAGTATGCGACCACGGTCATACTGAACACCACGGCCACGTCAACGTCCACGGGCTGGCCAACGTCCACCGCCACGTTAACGTCCTTGGTCCCCGCCATCGCCACAACGACCCGCTCGAAACGCCTCAACTTCCAGTCTCTAATGACAACGTATCGTGACAGCGCCACGCAGGACTTTGTAGAGAGGCCGGCTACGCCTCTAATCACAGAAAACAACTACTACTTCACAAAATCGAGAGGGAGAGAAGGAAAGAGGGAGAACAATGACCAAGATAGGGACAAAGCCACTTGTGATCATCAAAGATTACTGAGATGAGGATAGAAGAGCAAGAATGTTGGTCAGAGGAGAACGCTATATAGATATTTGGCCGTCAGGCGGATCGGCTTTTCTGAAAAGCAGCGGCGGTGTGCCGTTGGGGATAGAGTACTTTATTGGACTCTTGTGAAAGGCAGCGCTCTCGGCCTTGTTAACCTTTTGAGTCACGTCCAATAGGAGACAATGGATGCTCCAGTAAGCATAGTGAATTCTGACAACTGATGCGAGAATGTTGAGCTTGACATAGACCGTTTCTAGAATAACAAATATTGGCAGTTGGGAATGAGTATCTAATTTAAAGACTTTTTCTCTCGTATTACAGTAGCAATCAAAATGGCATGTCACCAATACAGTGCTTCTTTTGGGAAAATATCGTGAACAGACATACAATAACAAATGGCGACAGCATGTGCTGCTCGAAGAGACAATCGTCTATTCTAAGAAGCGGCAATAACCATTAACAGGGGCCCATTTTAATAACGAGGTACGCTATGGAACATATGAGGATATTGCGCCGCGCTCTGTCGACATTAATCGCCAGCACAAAATGTCATCTGCAGTGTTCCTAATATAGAACCGCCATGTGGCCTGAGAATCGCCCAAAGGCGCCATGCACCGTGAAATGGAGTATCCGTGGAATACCACAAGGAAGATACTAAGAATCGTGAGGATGGGGTCATAGAAAACCGATCAGAGACAGGTGATACCAAACTGATGAATAAAAAACGAACGAGGGAAACGAGGAGTTTTTACAAATATGAAAAATGGAGACACACTGTAGTTGGATATTCAACCCTAACTAAAATACAAAGCACACAAATAAAATGCAGTTTAAATCAAACGGCCAACGGCTGTCTGAGGTGCAGTGCTTTCAAACCAACAAACCCTTCAAGCCCGCCATCTATTTTCGCCCTCTCGCCAGCGCTCTGTCGCCTACCTGCGGCCAAAGTCGAGTGTCGACTTGGTCTCGGCCTCGTTGAAGGACGCCGGCGAGCAGCAGATGATGATGGTGGTCCGCGCGTTACCTCCGAGCGACTCCTGGAGGATCCTGGTCAGCTTCGAGTCACGGTACGGGATGTGAGATTTCTGTGAACAGAGGCGGTAAGTGGGTTAGTGATGGCATGGAGAACAGACGTGAAGGGACAACTTACCACTCCCATTTCGATACTTGCGGCTCCTTCCCAGCCCCTAAGCCCGTTCTGCCTACACAACTTTTTAGTCGTTGGATTGTAAAAAGGGCTAGAATATAGCAATTCCTTTTATTTAGGAAGCATTCATATGACATTATCACTGCCGTACCATTATCTTTTAGACTAGTTTGGTGACGGGAAGTGGTTTTCTCGATTTCGACAAAATTGATTGATGGAGCTAAGAGAAGCGGAGAGATTTCAAAATAAATGGGTAATTCTTCTGCAGGAATAGCCAATTCATAACGCCACGCGGTTTTATGGCTCCTTTTCTCATGACTTGTCTTTAAGCTGGCCCATTATCATAAAACCAACGCGAACGAACTACTCTTCGCAAGATGCGTATGACATCCTTAAATCGAATATTTGACGCAGTTTCGCACCACCTTAGATATGTCCCGAATCCCAATGACCCAAGGCGTCCCACACCATTCGAGTATAGGCCCGGGCAGCGCTTGTCGAACAGCACTGCGGATCCGAAGGTTGGGACTTTAATTGTGAAAAACCGCCCGCCCGCCGCCAAACGCAAACACCGCAAAACGCGCAAAACGCACGCCTAAAACGCCAACGCAAACTTGGCAAAAAAAAACAATCGCCCGCCCGCCGAAAACCGCAGAAAAAAAAACGCACAAAATGCCGCAAAAAACGCGCGTATATTCAACCTCTTAAGGCTGAAACAGACCCTTTCCGCGTTCAGGAAATCGCATGCGAGAGCCTATTCAAATACATTGTAATTCTTCTCGCATCAATCGCTTGCGGGAGGTTCGTGCGATTGATGCGAGCGTGCCTTCATGTATTTGAATAGGCTCTCGCATGCAATTTCCTGACTGCGGAAAGAGTCTGTTTCAGGCCTTGTCTGCCACACCCCACGCCTATAATGATGTTTTCCGATGTGCCTCGGCGTCGCCTATCTGGCGGCATCTGTCAACATGTATGTGTGTTTGCTGCGTCAGCAATAGACTCTTCTCCCGGGGGTCCGTGGGCATCCCGCTCCCGCTCGGATCTACTACGAGCGTTATTCGTTCAATACTCTCCCGGCCCGGGAGACTGATAGTGGACATCAACTATCATTGCCATGGCAAGGTGATATGTGAAGAGCGATAGATCATTGTAACAAACCGTCATCAAGAAAGACCATTGCAATAAGACGTTACCAAATGTTACAAATTTTGTCCATGTCAGATGAAAGGCTTCAAGAATCTTTATTTCACATCAACCTGAATAGGCAGCATTCAATATCATTACGTTTTCTCCACCCAATGGCGATCGCTCTGCTTTCTTCTCGCCCACGTTAGGATTTCACGCCCACTATTTAGTACTCCGATTGATACTCTATGTATTACCTCATCTATCTTTGTTCTCCAAAGCACCGCCCCACTCCTTACCTTACCTCTATCTATCGCTTCCTTCCCTCTTTCCCGCCGGCCTCCCCCGACCACACTTACGTTGCCGTCTGCCAGAGCCGATATCACGTTGCCCAGAGCAGAGAGCGACTTGTTGATGTTCTTCGCTTCGTCCAACACGGTACCCTCGGCGCCAGTCTTGCTGACCTGAGAATCAAACGCAAACGTCAACGATAGATACGGGGAACGATAATAATAATGATAGCGTGAAAGGGAAGAACGCAGGCGCTTTAAAAGGAACAAATTACACAAATGAAAGATGGTATTGCGCTAGAGCATCAAAACTATTTTTTTTAAACTTGTCACAACCATTGAAGCACACAAATCGAAAGCCCTACTCAGTGTAGGGGGGTGCAGGCCTATATATGGCCTTGGCTCAGTCTTTTTAGTTGCCAACGAAGTGCATTTCTGACATACATTGCCAAAGCGCGAACTAGCACGCCAACACTGCAACAGACGGACACCAAAAGTTTTAAATGCGATGCGCTATCTTCCACCGACCCTTTATTCTCATTACGCTGCCGAGTTGGGTCACCAAGCTTCAGCCTTATTAGGGACTGTTGATAACGGTCATTACACGCGATGCGTCATCGATACATCACGTTTGTGACGTCATTGGTCGACCATTATCTGTCGGGAGCCATAACAAAGGGCGCAATTAACAACAGAGAGCCGTGCCATCTTGTTAGTCGGACTGGTTTGCAATGGTGGAATCCTATTGAAGGGGTCGTGCTTAGGTGTATCCGCTAAAATGGTTTTCGAGAGCGACTCAGGTCCACTGATATAAATAGCAGTGAGAAAAAAAGGAACAATCAAGGCGGCAGACTAGAGCCACGCATGCAACTAGAGCTCTAGCTGAGGGAATTAGACACAAAATATCAAAATAGCTATTTAGCTATTGAGTTATCATATCGATTTATCAGGTCACTGGCTATGACGAAGTTTTAAACTTCAATATATCACCTCCACGGGGAAGCAAAGCGCATGACATTACATCATCGCAGGGACTTGGACGGGTCGGCGCAGAGGCCACGCTCGAGGTGAAATCGATACACCGCGCGGTAGGCTCCCGACTGTCTGCGACCCACTGTCTGCTGTCTGGGCAACTGTCTGAGCCTGTCTGGACGACTGTCTGGCGACGATCGTCCAGACACTGCGGTGCTGAAATTAACCGCAGCGGCAGACGGAGCAGGGCAGGCAGAGGACGGAGGGAGGTAGAGGGGGAGGGAAGGTGCGCAGTTCCATCTCTATCCGTGATCCGTTTCAGTCTCTGCACCACAGATCTGGTGGGCGGGCGTTGGGCGGACTGTCGTGTCTAGTCTAATGCTGTCCACGTCTGTTGTTGATTAAATTAAATGAACTCGGGGTCGGGGTGTTGGGAAACTGCCTATTTCTGTCGCAACTGTCAGCCACTTGATGAAGCTTCTCCCAATGGTCCCCATTCTAGAGTTGCCTCCCCAAAATAGCTTCCCCGTAGCTACCGAACAAGCAACACCTCGCCGATGTCTCAACTCGTGGGTGTCCACTGCATTGACAGGTAGATAAGAAACTGCCAAACTCTCATCAAAGGAAAGTTCATGCCAACGGCACCACTCTAAAAAAAAAAGAGAGAGAAAAGCATGCCCATTGTCCACCACTGTCAGACCAGACCATGGGACTGGGACCCTGGAGAGCCAGGTCAATCGGTCGGACGCCTCCGCCGTTTACCTAGTCTGCCATCCTCGCTGTAGACTGTTATAGAAAGTCCTGTAACCCCTCCCTTGGGGAGGAGGGTCGGAAGACTCTGATCGCCAAGGCGACATGTAATCATGGGGAGCGGGGCAGCCGCAGCACTGCCATGGGGACCGAGGTGACTGCGCCTCTGGATGTAGGATCAAGGGTGTCTTTCTCCTGACAGCTGAACACAGCATCGAGATCGAGTGAAAAAGAAACAGATGTGGCTGGTTGAAACGCTCAATCCGGTTTCTGCAATTGTGTTGGAACATTTGAGCCTCTCCTCTGTTTCAATAAACATGTCTCTTGAACAACGCATAGGTTATTCATCAGGCAATTGCAAATCCACCATAACAACTAGCTTCAAAATGTATTGCAGTTCCACCTCTGCACCAGCCTTTATCTTTTTTTTTTAATATACGGATACCCGCGCAGGTCACAACTCACGACCCATCACGAGCACCGATCAGGCACCGGACGACCCCGTAATATCGGCGGGGCAGCCCAGTACCCGGGGCTACGGCTATAGACGCGCCAATCATGCAAATGCGTCTTCGTCGGCGCCGACGACCCTGCCGCGTCGCTAACGGCGCGGAGTTTGGATCGACATCGATCACACACTGAGGACGAGCCTAGAGTCTTCGAGGTCGGAGAGGCGCCGAGTGGAGGTTCCTAATGGAGGAATTAGCAGTAGAACGGCTTTTGTAAACACTCAAAGTGGTATGGTGCACCACTCCGCGCCGTAGTATAGGAAATTAGACTATTTGTCCATAATGGAAAAGGTGTGTTTCGTTAATGGCTAATGAAGATACGAGGTGCCAAATAAAGTGCTGCTCATTTGCAGATAGAAGACACTCCATTGTGCAGACGTTCAAGCCGTAATAAGCAACATACCGAAGGAGCTGCTGCCTACAGAAAGGGGCTTGCAATCCATAAAGGCACAATGATGGCGACGAAATTTAAAACCTTTCTTAACCCGCGCACCGACGGGGGGGGGCGGATATCCGCCCCCCCCCCCCCTGAGGTTTTTCGCGGATAGCGAGAAAACCGCGGCGCGTAGCGCCGCGAAATTTGGTACGACTATTCTCTCATCAATTTTGCACATGGTGTGCAAGTTTGAACCTCCTAACTTTTAAGGTCAGGTCACCAGGTCACTTTGAATGACCCAACCTCAAGTCACTTTTTTGCAACTTTGTCACCGTGCCAGAGCTACAGTAGATGTCGGAGGCCTTTGAAAGTCGCAGGATGTTATTAGGTCATCAGTAGCTACAATTTGTATATCTCGGAATTTTGATGTCGGTGACCTAAGGTCAGGTCAATTTCGCGACCTCCCATTATAAGTCAATGGGGGGAAAATCAACTCCCTGTTTTTACCACTAAAACGGGTCGGAATGGCCCCATATACCATACATGACTTCATATACGATCAACCTTCACTACCTTGAGGTCTGTTTTGCTGTTGGGCAGCTGTAAGGTCATGTGACGTCATCAAAGGTCACCAGCGGTTTTTTGCCAATAACTCCGTACAGGAGCAAGATACAGCCGCGCGGATGGTGTCATTGTGTTCAGCTCGTCAAGACGCATCGAATGATATACGTGATGACCTCGAGGTCACGTGACCTGAGGTCAACCTTTGACCTTGACCTTTCGAGGTCAACATATATATCATTCGATGCGGATTGACGAGAGGATCACGATGATGCCCTTAGTTTGTTCCTATCTTGACTAATTCGAAAGTTATTCGAGAAAAACTCTCTCCATACCTAGCGCCGCCATTTTGACTTTTTCGACCCCTGTGATGTCATCTTTGACCTGACCTGAAAATGACCTTAGTAAAAATTGTAGACCTTGTCCGTGCGTATCCGATGCCGTTTACCGCTTGTCGCTATCTTGCTTCGTTCTCGAGATCTCAGGGGGGCGGTCATCCGCCCCCCCCCCCCGTCGGTGCGAAGTTGGCGCAGACCCCCGTCGGTGCGCGGGTTAAACAAATTCGCGAGTTTTTTCATCCAGAAGAACAGAGAACGAAAAGGAGCTATTTCATTGGCATCTTATTGGCAATCCATTCAAGAATGAAGGGGACGATGAAACCTTTAGATGTCCAGCGAAAATACCGTGGAGATAATCTGAACATGATAGCACATTCATGAAACTTAGTATCTCATGCTGCTGTATTTAACCGTAAAACTACGAGAACTGACCATAAATTTGACTCTCCAATTAAGTCCCGCCTTACATTAGCGGCCCTGATAATGGCATAGCACTTCAGTTGCGCTAAGCCAGCGGCCAATCCGGTAAGTCCTCTGAATCCTCCCTCTCTCATATCTCTGAGAGAGCACATGGTCATCGGAGCAGCAGCTGCAGCGGCCCTATTCCACAGACGACCCCGTATTGAATGTGCAGATGGGATTCAGGAGGACAGCAGATGTCTCTCCTACTGTGTACTGTCTCAGCCTGAGGCTGGCGAGTGAGAGGTCAGGTAACTTCTCATTGGCCCGGTGAGAAGTCCGTGGGAGTAGATAGTGTGAGATGCCCTGTGAGAAATCGGAATCAGGCCTAGACCACCTCTGCAGTCCGGCATTACGGCAGACTGATGCCAGTGAGACGTAAGTCTACACCGAAATCTAGTAAGTCTATATAATATCAATCCGACGAGCCATGAAGGTCAGCTTGGAAGGTCCCACGGACCCTGTTCGCTGAAGAAGTGCTGATGAGTTACAGGACGGCTAAGGCAGGGTCCTGAAAAGTTCAAAGGTTGCCAATCTTCTAGAAGGACCAACGAAAGATTGCCAACTTGGGACTTTGGTGAGCCAGGGTGTTTAAGAACCCTATTAAGACTGCAGTCTTCTACCAACTTAGTTAAATGTAGAGCGATTTATGCCCAGGGTCACCTATGCCAATCTTTGAAGGTTAAGAAGAGCGAAAATAGGAGTAGCAGCAGGACTGCTATATCCGCACTTTTAACCTTTTATACGATCATGAAGTGAATGGCGTCGAGTCAACCTAGTCTCTCACCTTCTCACTGCCAGCAAGATCGACCAGGTACAGTTTTCCGGAGAGTTTCTTGTCGTTCTCGAGGTTTTCCTGTTTGACGTTGATCAGGAACACGCTGTGACTACGTGAGCTGTGCTCGTTCATGTCTGCGGAAAAAAACGGTGCACACAAGGGTCACGAAGGTGTCTCACTGGGCCACGCAAAGGCACAATTTGTAGAGTGTAACGAATACAGAGAAAATATGCGAAAAAAATAATAATGTAACAATGGATTTTAGGTCCCACTGTCATAATGCAGATATTGAACCCTAAACTGAAAATGAAGCATGCTATAGCCGAGCTGGAGCTGTCAAGAACGTTACACATCAGGAAGAAACAATAACCTTTTTTCAGAACACAAGCGTGCTGCAGGAGAGATAAACCCAATAACAGCGCACAATGCAGTCTCGGGCGAAGAGCGAACAATGGTTACATTGATCGGCTCTTCAGATATACATGATCCAATGTAGCGATAAGACACGAGATGTGTTTAGCTATATGAAACAACGTTATAATGGGTTCACCTGTTCCCAGCACAGCATTTAGATTCGCGCTAGAATTACGGTTACAAAAACCTATGAAACAGTTGACAAAAGTAACAGAAAAAGCTGAGACGCGTTATTTTGAATTATTACATCGAATTGTCCAGTCATCACCAATTTCTGAAAATATAAGTCTGTTAAGGACAACTTTTTGAGCTTAGTAGGTCTTTAATGTTAGTAGGTCACTCTGTACGGAAATGACATCACCTAAGAACTAAACGACCCCCGTTTCATTCCCTGTCACGACCTCTGATAGTCCTGCCGCTGGACTCACGATCCTGCCTGGACACCACTCCCGGGCTGAATTTCTAACCGCCAGACAATCACGTCTGCCCCTGTTTCTGAGAGCTCGCCCCATGACCGACCCATGGCGGAAGCAATGCACACCGCTGGGACGTGGGCCGACTGGGAAGCACAGAATCTCGGAAACCTCTCCCAGGTCCGTGGCGGTCAAGACTAGAAAATTAACTGACCAAGAATCATAATCCGTGGAACAGAGTCTCCATTACACCGCGCTCATATTCAGCGGTGGCCGTCCCTTCATCTGAGTTTTCTGTCCAGACAACCTGACTCCCGCTCTAACACGGAATCTCACCGCTCCCCCTTTCCCGTCACGAGCCCATTCCCCCTCCAACATCGTCCCTTGTCGTCCTCCGCCCGCCCATCTTCTGTCAGCTGATGTCTCCCCAGGTGAACATCCCCCTGGACACATCACCCTCATGCCAGCCGCACCCAGACACATTAGCAGTAGTTCTGGGACCCGGTGAACCCGACGGCAGTGTCGCTCACTCAAGGCTGGACTAATCGGGACGGGCTGGGAATTAATTTGCAACGCATTGATTAAATAAATTGGATCTAATCAACTTAGACTCTGAGGGGGAAAAACAAAATAAAGAACGATGAAGAGACGATTAAAATACTAAGCAGTCAGATGGCCAGATGTGGTTACCACAAGACATTAACAAATCAGACACAAATAGAAGAGCCGAGCAGTTATCGCAATTTTACCACGCGGTCGGCAAAAGACCCTACGTTAACCCCAGTCCACTACCGATCCCACTTACTCGTGACGGCTATATGCCGGTTGGCTTTGCCCTCCTCGATGACTTCAAACACCTCCTCGGGACTGGAGACAAACCGTTCAGTGGCGCCTTTGACGAACGGCACGCGGTTCTTGTCCTCGTGTACGGCCAGGTTCACCTTGGAAACTGTAGACATAGGCAGAAGAGGAAGGCGTCAGAGCAGCCTGAGCCAGGGGTCATGTCAGGACATTAGAGGGTGAAGTCTTACAAGAAACACAGCAAGTAAAAATGCGAGCTCGAATACAGGTCGAGACTCGGGAAGATCACACCTAACAAAGTAAATAATCCAGATCTTTAATCAGGAGATCGGTACGCCATCTGGAGCCCATAAAGTGAAAACAGGATTTATAGCTGTAACAAATGCAGATCAACATGATAAATACATAACACACATTTCATAATAATCTTTCCTTGAAACAACACCTCAGATGACCTTGTTCAGTACCCAGTCACCTTACAGGAACAAAAAGAGCACCATAAGCCATCTCCAGCACCATAAAATATTCACCAAAACGAGTTCAACAGCGGGATTAAACATTATCTCGATACCAGTAAAAGACGCACGCGAGTTGCACAGCCCTGCGAAGCATAAAAACTGTTTGTGGTCGCTTCCGTCACTTACGTAGAAATTACAGACAAAAAAGGATATCATAACGGAAACATGCGCTTTTACTGGACGTAACTGACCTTGAACATGTGTCATTGCAAGATATGCCAGATATGAACAGTTGATTGCACACAACCATCGCACGCAAGTTGTACGGACATTTCTTCCGTGTCTATGAGCGGTAAAGCTCAGAAATGAGAAGTAGCAACTACAGTGTACTCGGCAATATACATATATAGCGATTCGATTTATCTTCTACGCTTTGAGATTACTGCAACATTTCCCCACTACACTCTGTAATATAGCATGACGGATATTCGCCACAGCAGCTCGCGTGTTTCAGCGTAATGCATTTCCATGATGGATGCATCTGCAGCTACCAGAGTCTAGACACCTAGACAAACAACGCCGAGATGAAAATAACGCTCAAAACCGCACTTCATTCATATGATGCAAGTCGAAGACAAATTGCCGCAATTCACGACCATAAATAACGAAATTGTGCTTTATGCGGGCTTGACATGAAGGTATAGAATGGCTACAAGGTGGAATGTTTTTGCCAATGTTTGTAGGATTATCACTAAAAAGGTGACACACCTACTACGCCTGTAATTTCTTACAGTTGAACAGTCTATTCATTAATTCAACACAACAACGACTGAAACATTCGGAGTGAAAAATCAATTGTTGAGAAAACAAAACGCGGTCATTTCCGGCATAGGTATGACACAAATACCGAACACGCAACTAGTCCGATATCCAATCATCATCCCGCACGAGAGGAGCTCGTTAGCACACATGCAGCGAAGACGATGGCGTCATCCACGATGACGCGGCACGATGACGTCTGGCCGCGATGTCACCCTGCAACTCATCGTTCTACACTGCTGCCGCCATTAACAGCGGCCCAATGAAAACATCTGCCACCACCGGCAGAAGGCACATCAATGCTGGCGATATGCGATATGGCAGCTTCAACGCGCACCACACACCCATATTGACAACTCCATTACAGAGATTGACCTAACACCAACACATCACGCAGATATAAGCAGCGGGAAACTATATATCTATGTGTGATCTCACTTTTCTACCTTAGAAGGATGTATTCTTTCTTTTCATTCTTTCTTTATTCTTTCTTGTATTCTTTCTTTCTGCATATATGTCAACTATGCAGGTGGAGGTTCGTATAGTCAAGTCCACATATAGCAGACGCATCTAAACAGTAGGCTTGCATGCCGTTTCTGTCTGCCCATCAGGCATGGACATGCTGCAATATAACGAATGCAATGGCTACGTTGGGCTATGGCGCAGCAAAGATGTAAAATGCCTGAAGTGACGACAAAATGTCAGCGGCAGACACATAGGTTGAAATACGCCACAGCCGAAGGAGGCAGGAAATGGTGGAAATAAAATACCAACTGGCAGTAAGGTGTCTGAATGGACTCAATAAAGACACAGATGACGACACTCTAGAACTTTTCATAAGAGAACGGAAAAGATATGCAACACCTGAAGCTCACAGCTGGAAGCGACAACGTTCTTAATATCAGGCATCCATTCACAGTATGCTTCAGTGCTTCCCGCTTCACTTTCTCTCCAACACAAAAATACGTTGGCCATTACTTGAAAAACAGTGCACTCCCGTTGGCGCACCCTACAAGTCACTTTCCCACACAACAGAGTGTATAGGTACAACAAAGGACACACCAATAAAACCCACATAACACACCGTGAGCTTACATGCCATAAAATCCTACAACGGCAGCGTACAAAGACTTCGACCGGTAAGCTTGACTGACACCCTTCGGTGGCCCACCTGTGTCTTCATTGTTCGGTGTCACCAGCAACACCACTGGTGACAGCATTGACAGTGTTACGACACCAGTGGTGACAGTCGGCAAGTCACTCCACCAGCACCACTGGTGACAGCGGTGACTGGTGCCAGTGGTGCGACACCAACCAGCGAGTCACTTCACCGACAGGCACACTGTGATTGATGATCCATGACATCAATCCGTCGCATGAGTCGTGAGCACCCCTCCTCCTGCAGCGACCCCACCTACGCAGCTGGCACCGATACCAACGCACACACGACAGGAAGGAAGCAGGCACAGCAACAGATGGGCGGAAGCGATCAGATGAACCCTGTCGCGCCAAAGATAACTGTGCGACGCTCAGTGCATGGCCCCGTCACGATGGTGAGGACGAGAGTTAGGTCGGTGACCCGACCAATGTTAACCAGTCGGTACTCACTTCTCAGGTATGTAATAGATAGTTCAGAGAAGTCATGCATCTTACGGTCCGCACATTATTGGCAGGATTCACACAGCGCTACCACAGATCGCTAGCATACAGCATACGTCAGCGAGTTATGTGTGGTGTTCCTGAACATGATTGGGATGATATAACAGCAATATTGAAACACGACAACGTTATAACGAATACATTAACCCGCGCGGGGCTGGGGGGGGGTAAATTTTACCCCCCCTCGCGAATTTTTGCGATATCTCAAAAACGGCGGCGCGCAGCGCCGCCAAACTTTCAGTACCTTTTCTTACATCAATTTGACACGTTCCCTGAAAATTTGAGCGAAATCTGTCGGAAAATTTTTGAGAAATTGACGTTTTAGTGACGTCATGTTCGCCATTTTCGCCTCAAAAACGGCAAAAGTTCAAACGCCGCTAACATCTTCATTTTTAAAGGAATCAAGACGTAACAAAAAAGGTTATACGTAATTTTACTTTGTCTTTCAAATGGCTATCTCGGTTTTTTGAAAATTTTGGATTTTGGCCTAAATTTTTTCAAAAAACTGATTTTTTTGGGAAAATCATTATAAAATCCAAAATTTTGAGTCTATCGAAAAAACCGGGATATATGTCAGAGAAGTGGTCTATGTGCACCTACATACCAAATTTTAGAAGAATCGGTTCAAAAATGTGGGAGTTATTCAAAATTTTATGACGTCACGACACACAAAATTTTTGAAAAATGACTTTTTTGGAAGTTCTAGACCTCGTACGGAAACAAAAATAGCACCATTCGATTCGCCGTGAAAAACTGCATCAGATAGACACCTTATTAGGCCTTAACAACCAACTTCAAAATTTGACCTCACTTGACCTGACCTTGACCTGACCTCGACCTGAAATTCATCCAGAGGTGGTCCATATCACTTATTGAGTATGCCTATTGAATTCTATGAGTAAAATGACCCATAAAACATGTGTCGCACATGCCCTTTTCTATATTTTGTTTTTTGGTGACCTGACCTGACCTGACCTGACCTTGACCTTGACCTCTGAATGATATTGTATGCAACGAATATTGTCTTGGTAGCCTAAGAACACGTTTTGGGCGATCAGTCTCAGTCCATGACTCCATTCTTCGGCAACTACGGTGCAAGGCCGATACTGTAGAAACTTGCAATTTGTACCCTTGACCTGACCTTGACCTTGACCTCAAACTTTAAATTAAGTACATGTTTTTAGTAGTTCGTGATGAGAGCTTTCGATTGGCGCTTGAATTTTCCAAATCGGACCATTAGTTCGGGAGATAACAGGGGGGGTAAAATTTACCCCCCCCAGCCCCGCGCGTTCGGCTGGAGACCCCAGCCCCGCGCGGGTTAATATATAGCAGAGAACGAGTGGAAGCCATGCGTCAGCCATAGACTGACATCCAGTCCCTTCCTTCAATCCCTCCTCCCCCACTTACCGTCCAGCAGATCCCTGATTTTGTCCATGTAGATCTCGAAGTAGCTGATTTTGATGTGGAACTCGAGGTTCTCCTCCATGCCGTAGATGTGGTTGAAGATGTCGGCGATAATCCGAGGGATGATACCCTGAAGGTCCGGCCGGCCCAGCACACCCTCCATTGTGTGCGTCTTGCCAGAGGAGGTCTGGCCGTACGCGAAGATGGTGCCGTTGTAACCCATGAGGACATCTGAGGACAAACAAAGACGAGAGTCAGCATTTATAATAAAAAAAGACAATACCTACTAAGAAGACGCTTGGCTATAGATACAAGCGAAAAAAAAAACAAGTAACACCGTTAGCTGTCCCGTTAAGCAGTGCAAATATCGACAGCCAGGAAATTCAACTGGCACTGGATAGTACCGTAAAGTGGGGCTATTTGAGACAGTGGGGCTATTTGAAACAGTATTTAAAATCGCTATAAAATGAAGATCGTTTGATTTATTTGTGATATTTTTGTTCAGGGAGGTATGGAACCGAGCAGTAAATCGTCTGAACAAAAATTAATCATAAATTTCAAACGGTTCTTATTTTATAGCAATTTTAAAAACTGTCTCAAATAGCCCCACTGTCTCAAATAGCCCCACCTTACGGTACATCGTAAAACATGGGCAAGGGATAGAAATTCACCTTGCATGCATAATTAATCAGAACAAAATATTAAGTTAATATTTCATGACAAGCAGCCCACAGAATGGTACAACCAAGCAGACACAATGGACAGACTTCTGAGTTCGCGCACAAAGTTAACCATAGGACTTCCGCCACCCTCATTAAAACCGCCTCTTCGGAGAGTAGAGGCTGAATTCCTCGAATGGGTCACGTCTGTTCTGCTTTTCAGAACCGCGTAGTGCGTTGTAAGTCTTATTTTTCGTTCTACTTTTGATTTAAAGCGACAAAACTTTCGAGACAGCCCTCGACCAACAAGAAAAGTGGAAGAACAAAGATGGCGAATGAATGATAGAGAAGAGAAGATACAGGTTGACAGGAGAGAGAGAGAGAGAGAGAGAGAGAGAGAGAGAGAGAGAGAGAGAGAGAGAGAGAGAGAGAGAGAGAGAGAGAGAGAGAGAGAGAGAGAGAGAGAGAGAGAGAGAGACCGATCCGATGCTACGACAACCTCATAACCCCACCACCGAGATTATCCCACCAGTCACAACAGGAGACAGCACTACGACGGCAGAGCAGAAACACTATGCGGGATGACGTAAGGGGACCGACATCGCCCATCGGGCTCCCGTCGGGTGGTGGCGTGAGGCTGGAGTATCCGACACCGTATCTCACCCACACACGCACACGCATATGCTTATGCACGAAAACACGCGAACAGAGGAGCTGCAACCAAAAACATTTCAGCGATGGTAATACGCTAAAGCATAGAACCGCTGTTGGCGCTGACTGACCCATGTGGGCTGAGGTATAAAAGCATATTCCGCGTTGTTTTCCGGGTTCGCGTCCCATGCATTTTAAATGGCGAGCGATATCCCGACCGTCATTTCACGTGGCCAGTGAAATACGCCGGCTCTGGCTCAGTTGAAACATGGTTTTTGGAGTGTCGATCTCTGGGGAAATTACAGTTGACTGCTAAGATAGTCGACCGACATACGCCCACCCTCGTGTCAGCCGCAGAGAGCGTTTCAGAGCAGCGGGCCGGGGCAGCTGGATCCCAAATATAGAGTACCGATCGGAGTAGCTTAAATCATAGATAAGCGGTTGGTTCAAATGGAGCCGGCGCATAGCGCTGATATCAGACTATTACTACAACGAACCCAGATAAATGAACAACGAATGATAGGAGGCTACGACTGGCAGCACAGCATATGCCTCGGATTTCATTGGCCTCCTGAGAGTAATGCATTGAAGTAGCTCAGAGTTCAAATACACAATGAATATTAACACGCGCACTGCAGGGGGGGGGGTTGTTTTCAACCCCCCCCCCCCTGTGGTTTTTCGCAGATTGCAAGAAAACGGCGGCGCGCAGCGCCGCCAAATTTTGCATACCTGTTCTCCCAACTGTTGCGCACCTTGAGTGAAAATTTTGACCCCAGGTGACCTATGGTCAGGTCACCAGGTCAGGTCAAGTGACCCTACCTCAGAACGTAAATTTCGAAGTTTGCAATCCCACCAAGCCCACAGTTGTTGATATAGGATCTTGAAACCCGCAGGAAGTAGTAAGGGCATCACGAGCTACAATTTGTATATCTCGGAATTTTTATATCGATGACCTAAGGTCAGGTCATTTTTGCGACCGGCCCATTATAAGTCAATGGGAGAAATTTCAACTTACTCTGAATGCCATCCTATGTCTTCAATATGCTCAGGATCATAGTATTACAGGTCCCTGTTGGTGATTTCGCCGAAACATATCACTTGTGACCTTTGGAAGGTGACCTCCAGGTCATCTGAGGTCACCTGAGGTCACCAACAGTTTTTCTTCAATAACTTGAGATTGAATAGAGATAGAGACTCCGTTCGACGTTTATCGTGTTTGTCTCGTCAATGCGGATCGAATGATATGCAACATGACCTATTTCGGTCAGGTCATGACCTTGACCTGAGGTCAAATTTTCAACTTGACCTTTCGAGGTCATATTATATATCATTCGATGCGCCTTGACGAGCTAAGAACGATGGCGTTCGAATCAACTCTCTATCTCTTCAGTGTAACGAGTTATTCAAGAAAAACTACCGCGAAATTCCCGTTGTGAAAATCGTAACATTTTGTCTTCTATGACCTCTGGTGACCTCGTTTTTGACCTAGGACAAAAATGACCTTAGTATTTCCTCTAGATAACATCCCGACCTATCCAACGCCGTTTACCGCTTGTCGCTACGTTGCGCCGTTTTCGAGATCTCAGGGGGGGTTGTTTTCAACCCCCCCCCCCCTGCAGTTCGTGTTCGGCTCAGACCCGCTACAGTGCGCGTGTTAAGTATAAATGCCCAGCCCTGTCTGCCTCTATGTAACTTTCGGTTCAGCAGCTTCCTACTACATCCTGGCACCATCGTGCTACCATATCCCGTTATACCAAGCCGGCGCCAGTTACGTGTATTATCAACCAGTCCCGAACACAGCCAGAACGGTCAGAGCAACTCCGTCAAGCCAAACAGGCGTGCGACACCGCGGCAAATCGAGATAAACCGTGCCGTTCAAAGTGTTTGTCTCGACACCGCCGGCGAACGATAAGGCGTCTCGAGAGCGGTGGTAATTCACAACACACAGTGAGGTTCATGAGTCTTGTCCTAAAGTGCTAGACTAGACAGACTAGAGCTCCCCGCACAAGATCCGCATTGAACATGGATGTAAGCGAGGGCGTGGGAGAGCGGCGCAAGAGCGAAGGAAGAGCAAAGGCGAGGGGCGGAGGCAGAATCAGCCTTGCTACATAAGAGCCACATCGGCTGTTGGTCCACCTTGCAACCCAGCACGCCCTGATCCAGCACGGCGGACAACGATGACTCATCGGGCAGCGTGTCGAGTTTTATGACTGGCACCGTCGGCACCGGCCGTGGACACGGCGGCGGGCCATGCTAGCGATGGAATAGGATGTCAGGAGCCAGGTTCACGGGGTCAAACATGAACAGGTAAATTGCGAGCAATCACCGATGGGCTGTGAATATAGAACAGCGCGGTGTGAGGCCTTGGTTTGTGTTAGCACGTGCTCGTTGATGAAAATGGGGGATAGAAAGGAACGTCTATTAGATTGGATTGTGTGAAAGTGAAAGGACGATTACAGCAGACGCCGTTAACAAACGAGTCGTGATCAGCGAATGGTAGGAAGCCAGCGGACAGCAAGCTGTGGACAGCGTGCAGCGTGCGGCGAGCGGCGGACAACGAGCAGCCGTTGCCGGTGGTCAGTGACGACAGGCTCAGTTCCAGTGGCCGGCGGTCAGTTACGTAAGGCATGGTCCCTGTGGTCAGTGACAGCAGGCACAGTCCCGCGCCGTCCGTGTGTCTCCGTGTGGTCGCGTCCACCGCGCCAGCCCGTTATGTTTGACGGATGGTCGGCTGGCCAAAGCTGCCGCCGCGCCCGGCCGGCCCGAGAAGGGAGGTGCGGCGGCCTCAATGGTGTTCCAGGAAGGCGCTGCTTTCAGGCGCTAAGTGGACAGTGATGAAGCAGCTGAGAGCGAGTTTAGTCCAGAGCGGAGGGTTGATACTTGATTACCGATCAATCATTTAACCGTCAGTTAATGTCATGTAGTAAAACAGAAGCTCAGGCTTGCAAAAACACATTTCCAATTTCAAAACGTAGGTCTGCAGAGGTTTTACATACCCTATTATCATCCACACGCTTCCATACGACCATCAAATAGGCATCACCATCCTGCAGCTCCACTGGGGCGTAGTGCGATAAACTGCGGAGACCGTAGGCGGCGGACCCAGTGGAACAGCACCAGACTACAAATGAACGCACCGGTGTCCATCCAAATCACCCCATCGGCGCACGGGGATTCGCAACGCACCGTTCAGGCTGAAATTCCAGCTTTTTAGCGTGTTAGTTCCACTTCCACCAAAAGGAATGATCCCATTAGCGCAAATGAAAGTCTCGCAAATGCGCTTCAATCTAGCTCACTGCGTAAATCCAGCGCATTAACCATATTTGACAACTTCAAGGGCACCACCCATCGTCGAAAAACAGCCTTGTCGGTGCGTCGACGACCTCACTGCGGAACAACAGTGACCGCAACACGAGGAAACCGCGCGCGAGCGGAGCGGTTAGAGATAACCTTCCCACGGCGTGACCGGTTTGGTGAAAAAAAAAAACTCCGCCCGCTGCCGGCCGGCCGTGTCACCGATGACGTCAGTAATGCTGGGCGACACGGCGGACCGCGCGCCGCGCGGCACACACACCGGGCACGGCGGCAAGGGACGGTGCAGAACGGGACCGTGGTCCCTGTGCTGGTCTGGTGAAGTGAGGCACGGTATACAAGTCAAAGATGATGTCACTAAGAGTGGTGTGGCATTGGGCGGTGGTGTTAGAAAAAGTTTGATTACTCGCCCCTGGCTGGGGGCTTGGGTCAAGTCATTGAATCTATGAGTGGCGGTTGCAGGCGATTATAAGTGACGTCGGAGATCATAAAACCAGTAAAACGCCTTTTGGGCGAAGAACGAGCGAGCGAGATAGTGAGCCCTGCACGTGCGGAAGGGCGAGAGGGTACTTCCAACGGGCTTGTGCAAAGCACCCGTCTAACCGGTCG